CCGGTGGGGGTTTTAGAGATTCCCGGGTTTTTGGGGCCTCTGTTGGCCGGATCTGTCTAGATGTTGGACTTAGCCAGCCTCATTAGTGGCTGGATGCGTCTGGGACTTCAGGGTTTGGTTCCATCGGGCTGCAGCGGAGCTGCCTTCCGACCTACTGAGGTAGACTGCTCCAGTAACATCGGTTTTCCCTGCAGGTGTGCCCCCTCTCGGAGGCCCTCAGCAGGATGATGGGAGGGCTGAGCCTGGATGGAGGCAGGCTTGGTGCTGCTAGTCCACAGTCAGAACCTGGGACGGGCACCGCCGACCTCAGACAGGTGAGAACTCGCCTCCATCGTAACTGGGTGTGTTGGTTCTGATTGGATCATTGGTTCCCAGATATGGGACCCCCCTCCAGGGTCCAAGAGGACTCAGGCGTGTCGCGTCTCTGTGTCTGTCCCTCAGGTGTCGGCGCGGCTCTCTCCAGAACAGGCAGCTGCCTTCCTGGCTCTGACCACAATGAAGGGGCGGAGCTTCGATGTTGATGATGTCATGGAGGCAGTCCAGCACAGCCCAAATCTACCAGCCGCGCTGAAGTTCCTGACACACACCTGTCCAATCTGCCGTGAACAGGTGTCCTTCAGCAAGGTGAGGTGTTGCCAACCAATCAGAGCGCACCCGCAGCCATACTTCCTCCTAACTCTTCTTCCCTGCTTGCGTTCCCTGCAGATGATCACCATGACTCACTGCTCTTGCTTCCTGTGCCAGAGCTGCTTCACCTCTTCTTTCTCCGTCGCCATCAGGGAGCGCAGCGTGGACCAGCTCACCTGTCCGCAGTGCGGCAAACCGGATCTCAGAGGTCAGAAGGTGCAGGAGGAGTCCATGGACTACTTTAACCTGCTGGACACACAGGTGAGACCAGGAGAGGTGAGACATGCACAGGTGAAACCAGCACAGGTAGAAATGGCTGCTGTTGTTCCAGATTCGTCACTTCTTGCCTCCCGACATCCACGAACTCTTTCAGAGGAAACTCCGAGACCGAGCCCTGCAGGACATGCCCAGTTTTTGTTGGTGTGCTCATGTAAGACCCTCAGGAACCAGACCAGCATTTCTCTTTATCCAGTTAGTGGACTTTGCTCTTCTAGTTCGGTACCTGTAAAAAACAGTGGGAGGGAGTCTGCCGTATTTCCCAGTGGGAAATACGGCACCAGACACTTTCCTTTAGATGCCCCTTCAGACTTTGGACTGGGGACCCAGTTCCTGGTCCCTGCTAGAACCTTAGCAGAATGTGTTTTTGTTTCAGTGTTCCTCTGGGGTGCTTCATGAATCAGACAGGTTGAGGATGGACTGTCCCAGCTGCAGGAAGAGCACCTGTTCCCAGTGCAGATCACCAGTAAGCCTCACTAACCCGCCCACCCAAACACATGCAGGCAGCTGAACTGGACCCAGACCAGAACCTGACTGTGTTCTGTCTGCTCTGCAGTGGTCAACTCACCATCAGGGACGGTCCTGTGATGAGTTTAAGGTGTGGCAGCAGCAGAACCAGCAGGATGATCATCCACCTTCCATGCTCCAAAACCTTATCGGTAAACGATGTGCTGGGCTTCAACATTGTGTAGCGTCCACAGTTCCAGGATACGACATTAAAACCACCAGGAGAATGCACTAAAGCCAGCCATTGCCCCTGAAGCCAGCTCTGGGGTTGGCGTTCGCCAGTGAGCGCCTGGCGGTCAGGTTCTTCCTCAAGGAACCGGGCCAGGCCAAATTTGAAGCAGTGAGGCAAGTGGGCTAACCCTCCACCTGCAGGGGGAACCATGAGGGACCGGTGCAGAGAGAACTGGCTGATGGAGGCGGCGTGATCCACAGACGCTTTAACTGGCTCTGGGGACAGAGGAAGTGACCTCGCTGGAGGGTGAGCCTGAGCTTGTGCAAGAGGGGGAGTGATACCTGCATGTAATAGTCGGATTGGCCCGGGCTCTGGAACCCAGCTGCTTGAGAGAGGCTGGACTCGCCTACTCTGGAATGGCCCATGGGGGGGCCTGCTTCTCTCCCCAGTTTAACTGTCTCCTGGGGGCCAGTACAGAGGAGCAGGCCTTCTTAGTGTCCCTGGCAGAGGTGCAGGGTAGCTGGGAAAGGACAGTTACATTAAAGGAATAGTACACCCAAAACATGATTAGCCTTCATTTTCTACTCACCCCCATGCTGAACAACACTCTGGAGTACTTTTTTGATATCTCAAATGCATCTGGAGATCTGGGAGGCTTCTTGCTGTCTGCTGACATTCAAATAATGGAGGTCTATGGCGCCCGAGGCAGAAAGGTCCATAAAAGTCCACAAAAAACGTGTCAATATTCCTCCATACTGCTCGTCCAATGTATTCCAAGTGTCCTGAGTGGGTAGCGTCCATAATTTACTCGAAACAAAGTCATTTAGAATGTTTTTAGAGCATAAACAGTAGTGTATAGGAGTTCCTGAAAGCGCGTTCACGAGTCTACGGAAACCGCGGCAGACCAAACCAGATGAAACTGGAGCCTTGGAGGAGTTTGGAGGGATGATGGAGAAATACTATGTGTTGGCCTCAAAGCGCCCCTGGCAAACCACCCCATGCCTTTGCTAATGCTGTTTTCAGTGGGAGCTGCTGACCCTGGCAACGCACTAGAAAAATGCTTTAGGATCTCCTCAACCCGGCTGACATGCCTTCAGTGGCCTTCTGTCAGCGAGCCCCAGGGTAGCCATGGCTACAGCGTAGCGTGCCACCATCGGTGAATGGCTGAATGTAGTGTGAAGGCCTTTGGTCTAGTCTCCTGAAAGGCGCTATACAAGTATAGGCCATCGTAAAGAGGAGGAGGGGTCAACTGTAGTGGGATTACAATTCCCATCCTCCCCAAGAAGGCCTCAGCCGGGGAACAGTGGACCAGCTCTACACCCTGCAGGGAGCTCCAGGGTCATGGGAGTTTGCCCAACTAATCCACATGTTTTCTGTGGACCTGGAGAAGACATTTGACCGTGTGCCTTATGATGACCTATGGGAGGCCCTTTACCAGGGGCTGTACAAGCAGAGCCGGCATTAAGTCAGACAAATTATTGAATGATGATCACTGGATGCATTGTGAGGCGCGGTCTTTAAAATACAGACCATTTTCCATTTACAACAGCACAATGATGAAAAAGGGGTCCCTATGTCCTCCAGCAGTCTAAGCCTATAGCAGCAGAACTATAGAGATAGATCAGGATAACCTGAGCCACTCTATCTAGAAGCTTTATCAAAAAGGAAAGTTTTAAGCCTAGCCTTAAAAGTAGACAGGGTGTCTGCCTCACGGACTAAAACTGGTAGTTGGTTCCACAGGAGAGGAGCCTGATAACTAAAAGATCTGCCTCCCATTCTACCTTCCAAGGTATCTGCAGTAAAACTACCATCTTCTTGGTCCTCAGAATGTCCCAGCTGTCAGTTTGTCTTCAGCCTGTCAAAGGGAGGATGTCTTCACTTCACCTGCACCCAGTGTCGCCATCAGTTCTGTGGCGGCTGCAGACAGCGCTTTTCTCTGGGTTCTGTGAGTCCCTGTTCTGAAGCTTATGCTAAGATTAACTGTGACGACGCATTTTGTTACCTGCATTATTTTGCTGGTCCAGCACATAGTCTCAACTCTCTCAGGAGTTGCGTAATTTTGCACCTTTTTCAAGTGTCTCTTTCTGTGACTCCTCAGGAATGCAGCTTCTCTGCTCAGTGTGGCTCCAAAGGTCTTCATGCCCACCACCCCAGGAACTGCCTGTACCACCTTAGAGACTGGAGCGTGAGCCGTCTGCACCAGCTTCTGCAGGTCAGATGCTTGATGCCTGCAGTGGTCTAGGTCAGGTTGACTCTCTGCTGATGCTCTAATCTCTATTAGTATCACAGAGTATCTCCTTCCTGGTGGAGACCATCCCATGGCAGCTTGACTCCATCCAGTATGACAGGTGATGTCATGCCTGTTATCAGTGTAGAGAACAGGAATACTGAGACATACTGGGACTCCAGCCCCAGCGTGTCTGACAGACATATTTGGTTTCCTGCAGCATGTCCGATGTTAGAGCTACGAGACAACAGCTTTGGGACTAAGGAAGAACCATGTGGACGACCGGCGCTGTCTGAGTTCGGAGGATACTGCCAGTAAGATCCCCTGTGGTCCAATCAGAGTCCACGTGATTCCCAGTCCTCGTACCTGTTCAGGTGAGCTGCTGTCTGTCCTAGCAGGGGTCACTATAAAGAGCGACTGGTGGAGCTGATCAACCATTGGCGTGTCGACCCAGCAGTCCTTTTCAGTCCTGCAGAGATGATTGCAGAACTACAGCGATGGAACATTGCCGTGCCAACAAGGAAGCTTGAAGAGCCAGAGCCAGTTTATGCCCACCGCCTGCGGCTGGTTAGTGATATCATTATAACCACTGTTTACCTGGACCTAATTGAGCAGCTGCACACAGTTATAATAACAATCAGCTTTCAAAGATTCAGCACTTGTAGGAAACACACTCGTATCTTCCTGAAACCACACCTGAACCTTCCACGATCCACACCTGGACCATCCTGAAACCACACCTGAACCCTCCATGATTCACACCTGGACCATCCTGAAACCACATCTGAGCTAGGGCTGCAACAACGAATTGATAAAATCGATAAAAATCGACTTTTAAAAGCGTTGGCAACAAATTTCATCATCGATTAGTTGTGTCGCGCGATTAATGCGTCATCTGCCGCCGTCGGCAGCTGCTGCCGTGGGGCGCCTCCCCCATCCCAATCCCGTTCTCCCGCAGGAGTCCCTCTCAGCGCTGCAGTCAGAGCCGCAGGATGTTTACCCTCAGCGTCCAGACTGCAAATGAAGCGCGCATGCACCAGGATTGACAGCGCAAATTGATCACAATAATTAAAATAGCCTGCGCTTTGTAAAGTGAAAAAAGTCGTAACATGCAACTTTTGTCAAAACAAATGAACATGGCACGGAAGCACCATGTTTGTTTGGTTCTAAAGTGGGGAAACGTAACGTTAGTTTCTCAGGTAGCTCATCTGATGCTTTCCTTACCGTGTTAGTAGGTTACAGACAGTGATAAGGTTGGCTACTTATTTTACTTTTAATTTCATTTGAATTAGCTTAAGCAGCGTTTATATTTTCTTTATAAATAAATTAACTTGCAAATTATGAGGGCAAGGCTTTTAAAGTTTAAATCTTCTGGCAAAGATAAAGTAAAGAAGATCCTGCAATTTATGGAAGTAAAGCAGAATAAAATCCAGCAAGATCAGTAATATGTCAATTAATTATCTGCCACATTTCCATGTAAATATCTGTCTTTGGAGGATGTGTTTTTTAGCACCCCTAGTTCTCTCATTTTTATTCCAAATACAATTTATAATTTGAATCACAGGGCTATTTTTATCTCTATGGTTCAGTATTTTCTCAAGTAGCAACTTTAACTGCTATACTTTCCTGTCTTAAAAGGCAGAACTCTTCTAGTCTAAAAAAACTCATTTGTTGAAATGGGGGGGGGCTATTGTTTGAACCCCTTAGGGGCTTTAAAAAACAAAAATGTCTTTTTTTGCGCTTTATGAAACAAAGTAGCCTATATTTTGTGGATGTACAGCTACATTTCTCATGTAAGTTTGCGTAGTTTTAACACATTTATTTTTCATATTGCACCAGTACAGTTAATGAGCAACCTGTACTTGTGTGCTTGTTTGTTCTGAATAAAATGTTTATTTTGAATAAAGAGGTTAATATAAAAAATATTTTTTGTCCGATTCATCGATTATTTGAAAAAATAATCGGCTGATTCATCGATTTTTTAAAATAATCGTTAGTTGCAGCCCTGATCTGAACCCTCCATGAGCCACACCTTGATCATCCTGGAGCCATTCCTGAACCATCCAGGATACAAACCTGGATCATCCTAGAACCATGAATAACCCATCTAGGATACAAACATGATTCCTCCAAAAAACACACCTGGATTCTTTCAGGACCCCCAGTTGGTTCCTTTCAGAAGCCACAGTGGGTTCCTTTCAGGTGCCACACCTAGATCCTATCACGACCAGCACCTGGTTCAAGAATGGCTCAAACCTGGATCCTTTGAAGACTCACACCTGCATATTTTCAGGTCCAAAACCTGGACCCTTTCAGAACTCACAGCTAGAACCTTTTAGGACCCTTACCTAGATTTTCCAGGACCCATTCCAGGGTCCTTTCGGGTCCTACATGTGAATCATATTAGAATCCACACCTGGATCCTTCAGTAACCCAAAGCTGGATCCTTTCAAGACCAACACCTGGATTTTATTAGGACCAACAACTGCATCCTTTCATTCTGGAAGGACCTAAACTAGGATTCTTTCAGGAGCAAAACCTGGATTATTTCAGAATGCACACCTGGATCCTGTCAGGGTCCACACCTGGATCCTCCAGGACCCACACCTGGATTATTTTAGAAGACACACCTGGACCCTCTCAGGGTCCACACCTGGATCCTGTCAGGGTCCACACCTGGATTTGTTCAGGATGTAGACCTGGTTCCTGTAAGGACCCACACCTGGATCCCGTCAGGATCCATACCAGGATTATTTCAGGATGCACACCTGGATCCTGTCAGGGTCCACACCTGGATCCTCCAGGATCCACACCTGGATTATTTTAGGAGACACACCTGGATGCTGTCAGGGTCCACACCTGGATTATTTTAGGAGACACACCTGGATGCTGTCAGGACCCACATCTGAATTGTCAAATTATACAAAAGTTGGACGAAACAAGCGAGGCCGATAGTGAAAAACAGCCCCACACGGCTTATGAAAACCGAGCAATTCTGCCAGAGAGTGCGGGACACCAACCACAGAGTAATTGCGGCCGATCGAGAGTAAAACTTGGTGAGACAGAGGCGTGCAGGTGGCGCAGTGGTTAGTGCGCACGACTCATGTACGGAGGCCTTAGTCCTCGATGCGGCCAATCCGGGCTGGAATCCGACCTGTGGTCCTTACCGCATGTCTCCCCCCCTCTCATACATGCCGATCGATGGTGCATGCTAGACCGAGTGAGATAGATAGATATATATCTATAAAAATACAAGTCAGTTGTGAATAAGAACTACCTCAGCTATTTATTCAGTTTATCCGTCATTTCTATGAGGAAAATATGGCATATTTTATATCATTTAAACCAAGAAATTAGTTTATAGATTTTCTTTGGGGGATACCTAGCCTGCTGGTTTAACTTTTTAAATGATTTCTGACCAAACTTTTTTAAGTAAAACATAGAAGCTGTTTGATACAATTTAAATGAAATGATTGATATTGTGAAATAATGCCAGGATATTAACCAGATGTTCCAACGTTCTGGACTCTGTGAAAAAGAGAAAAAGGACTTAAAAGGTTTTGGCTGGATCATCAATATAAAGTTAGAAAACATAGAAATTATATAGAACAGTAAATCCAACAAATTGGGGAAATAAGCCCTTTTTTTCTTTTTCACAAGTAAAGTTGGAACATTGGTTAATATCCTGGCTTTAAATTTCACAATATCAATCTTTTCTTTTAAAATGTATCAAACGCTTCTTTTTTAAAATTAAAAAATTTTTGGGTCAAAAATCTTTTAAAAGTTAAAACCAGCAGGCGGGTACCCCCCAAAAAAAATCTATAAAAAAAATTTTTTTGTTTAAAAAATAAAAAAATATGCCATATTTTCCCTCAAAAAAATGCAAAAAAAACTGAATAAATAGCTGAGGTAGTTTTATTCAAACTGACTTTATTTTTATAGATATATATCTACTATCTCCCGGTCTAGCAGCCCCATCGATCGGCATGTATGAGAGGGGGGGAGAATGGGGTAAGGACCCAGGTCGGATTCCAGCCCGGATTGGCCCATCGAGGACTAAGGCCCCCGTACTAGTCGGTTTCGATAACCAGGGCCCCCCTTCCCCCGCCTCTTCTCACCAATTTTACTCTCGATCGGCCGCAATTACTCTGTGGTTGGTGTCCCGCACTCTCTGCAGAATTGCTGGGTTTTTTCTAAGCCGGTGGGGGCTGTTTTTCATTTTGCCTCGCTTTTCGTCCACTTTTTTTTAATTTGCAATTCAGATGTGGGTCCTAAGACCCAGGTGTCTCCAAAAATAATCCAGGGGGGGACCTAAAAGGATCCAGGTGTGCCCTAAAATTCAGGGGGGTCCAAAAAATTTCCGGTGTGGACCTGGAGGATCCAGGTGGGGAAAAACCCGACAGGTCCGGTGTGTCCTACAGGAACCAGGCTACTCCTGAAAAAATCCAGGTGTGGACCCGAAGGGGAAAACCCCAGGTGTGTCTTAAAATAACCCAGGGTGGGTCCTGGAGGTCCAGGTGTGGACCCTGACAGGACCCATTTTGGCATCTAAATAATCCGGTTGGACCGAAGAACCGGGTTAAAATCCTGAAAAAAAGGATGCAGTTGTTGGTCCCAAAAAATCCCGGTGTTGGTCTTGAAAGGGTCCGCTTTGGGGTTCTGAAGGATAGGGGTGGATTCTAAATGATTCCCTTAGGACCCCAAAGGGCCCCGGAATGGGTCCGAAAAAACTAGGGGAAGGGTCCTAAAAAATTTTGCTGTGGTTTGAAGGGGCCAGGGTTTTGGGTTTAAAATATGCAGGTGTGAGTCTTCAAAAGGGTCCAGGTTTTACCATTCTTTAACCAGGTTGGTCGTGATAGGATCTGGTGTGGGACCGAAAGGAAACCAACTGGGGGTCCTGAAAAAGAATCCCGGTGGTTTTTTTGGAGGAATCAGTTTGTTCCTAGATGGGTTATTCTGGCTAGGATGTCCAGGTTTTTTATCCCGGATGGTTCAGGAATGGCTCCAGGGGTGATAAGGTGTGGCTCTGGGGGTTAGATCAGGGGTGCAAACAACGTTATTTTAAAAATATATCGCCGTTATTTTTCATTTAAACGATGAATGGACAAAAAAAAATTTTTTATATTAACCTCTTTTTTCCCAAAAAAAACATTTTAACAGAACAAACAAGCACACAAATACAGGTTGCTCATTAACTGTACTGGTGCAATATGAAAAATAAATGTTTGTGTTAAAACTACGCAAACTTACATGAGAAATGTAGCTGTACATCCACAAAATATAGGCTACTTTGTTTCATAAAGCGCAAAAAAGACATTTTTGTTTTTAAAGCCCCTAAGGGGTTCAAACAATAGGCCCCCCCATTTCAACAAATGAGGTTTTTTAGACTAGAAGAGTTCTGCCTTTTAAGACAGGAAAGTATAGCAGTTAAAGTTGCTACTTGAGAAAATACTGAACCATAGAGATAAAAATAGCCCTGTGATTCAAATTATAAATTGTATTTGGAATAAAAATGAGAGAACTAGGGGTGCTAAAAAACACATCCTCCAAAGACAGATATTTACATGGGAATGTGGCAGATAATTAATTGACATATTACTGATCTTGCTGGATTTTATTCTGCTTTACTTCCATAAATTGCAGGATCTTCTTTACTTTATCTTTGCCAGAAGATTTAAACTTTAAAAGCCTTGCCCTCATAATTTGCAAGTTAATTTATTTATAAAGTAAATATAAACGCTGCTTAAGCTAATTCAAATGAAATTAAAAGTAAAATAAGTAGCCAACCTTATCACTGTCTGTAACCTACTAACACGGTAAGGAAAGCATCAGATGAGCTACCTGAGAAACTAACGTTACGTTTCCCCACTTTAAAACCAAACAAACATGGTGCTTCCGTGCCATGTTCATTTGTTTGACAAAAGTTGCATGTTACGACTTTTTTCACTTTACAAAGCGCAGGCTATTTTAATTATTGTGATCAATTTGCGCCGTCAATCCCGGCGCATGCGCGCTTCATTTGCAGTCTGGACGCTGAGGGTAAACATCCTGCGGCTCTGACTGCAGCGCTGAGAGGGACTCCTGCGGGAGAACGGGGTTGGGATGGGGGAGGCGCCCCACGGCAATGACGACGGCGGCGGATGACGCATTAATCGCGCGACACAACTAATCGATGATGAAATTTGTTGCCAACGCTTTTAAAAGTCGATTTTTATCGATTTTATCAATTCGTTGTTGCAGCCCTAGCTCAGATGTGGTTTCAGGATGGTCCAGGTGTGAATCATGGAGGGTTCAGGTGCGGTTTCAGGATGGTCCAGGTGTGAATCATGGAGGGTTCAGGTGCGGTTTCAGGATGGTCCAGGTGTGAATCATGGAGGGTTCAGGTGCGGTTTCAGGATGGTCCAGGTGTGAATCATGGAGGGTTCAGGTGCGGTTTCAGGATGGTCCAGGTGTGAATCATGGAGGGTTCAGGTGCGGTTTCAGGATGGTCCAGGTGTGAATCATGGAGGGTTCAGGTGCGGTTTCAGGATGGTCCAGGTGTGAATCATGGAGGGTTCAGGTGCGGTTTCAGGATGGTCCAGGTGTGAATCATGGAGGGTTCAGGTGCGGTTTCAGGATGGTCCAGGTGTGAATCATGGAGGGTTCAGGTGCGGTTTCAGGATGGTCCAGGTGTGAATCATGGAGGGTTCAGGTGTGGTTTCAGGATGGTCCAGGTGTGGATCGTGGAAGGTTCAGGTGTGGTTTCAGGAAGATACGAGTGTGTTTCCTACAAGTGCTGAATCTTTGAAAGCTGATTGTTATTATGACTGTGTGCAGCTGCTCAATTAGGTCCAGGTAAACAGTGGTTATAATGATATCACTAACCAGCCGCAGGCGGTGGGCATAAACTGGCTCTGGCTCTTCAAGCTTCCTTGTTGGCACGGCAATGTTCCATCGCTGTAGTTCTGCAATCATCTCTGCAGGACTGAAAAGGACTGCTGGGTCGACACGCCAATGGTTGATCAGCTCCACCAGTCGCTCTTTATAGTGACCCCTGCTAGGACAGACAGCAGCTCACCTGAACAGGTACGAGGACTGGGAATCACGTGGACTCTGATTGGACCACAGGGGATCTTACTGGCAGTATCCTCCGAACTCAGACAGCGCCGGTCGTCCACATGGTTCTTCCTTAGTCCCAAAGCTGTTGTCTCGTAGCTCTAACATCGGACATGCTGCAGGAAACCAAATATGTCTGTCAGACACGCTGGGGCTGGAGTCCCAGCATGTCTCAGTATTCCTGTTCTCTACACTGATAACAGGCATGACATCACCTGTCATACTGGATGGAGTCAAGCTGCCATGGGATGGTCTCCACCAGGAAGGGGATACTCTGTGATACTAATAGAGATTAGAGCATCAGCAGAGAGTCAACCTGACCTAGACCACTGCAGGCATCAAGCATCTGACCTGCAGAAGCTGGTGCAGACGGCTCACGCTCCAGTCTCTAAGGTGGTACAGGCAGTCCCTGGGGTGGTGGGCATGAAGACCTTTGGAGCCACACTGAGCAGAGAAGCTGCATTCCTGAGGAGGTCACAGAAAGAGACATTTGAAAAAGGTGCAAAATTACGCAACTCCTGAGAGAGTTGAGACTATGTGCTGGACCAGCAAAATAATGCAGGTAACAAAATGCGTCGTCACAGTTAATCTTAGCATAAGCTTCAGAACAGGGACTCACAGAACCCAGAGAAAAGCGCTGTCTGCAGCCGCCACAGAACTGATGGCGACACTGGGTGCAGGTGAAGTGAAGACATCCTCCCTTTGACAGGCTGAAGACAAACTGACAGCTGGGACATTCTGAGGACCAAGAAGATGGTAGTTTTACTGCAGATACCTTGGAAGGTAGAATGGGAGGCAGATCTTTTAGTTCTCAGGCTCCTCTCCTGTGGAACCAACTACCAGTTTTAGTCCGTGAGGCAGACACCCTGTCTACTTTTAAGGCTAGGCTTAAAACTTTCCTTTTTGATAAAGCTTCTAGTTAGAGTGGCTCAGGTTATCCTGATCTATCTCTATAGTTCTGCTGCTATAGGCTTAGACTGCTGGAGGACATAGGGACCCCTTTTTCATCATTCTGCTGTTGTAAATGGAAAATGGTCTGTATTTTAAAGACCGCGCCTCACAATACATCCAGTGATCAACTCATTCAATCATTTGTCTGACTTAATGCCGGCTCTGCTTGTACAGCCCCTGGTAAAGGGCCTCCCACAGGGCATCATAAGGCACACGGTCAAATGTCTTCTCCAGGTCCACAGAAAACATGTGGATCAGTTGGGCAAACTCCCATGACCCTGGAGCTCCCTGCAGGGTGTAGAGCTGGTCCACTGTTCCCCGGCTGAGGCCTTCTTGGGGAGGATGGGAATTGTAATCCCACTACAGTTGACCCCTCCTCCTCTTTACGATGGCCTATACTTGTATAGCGCCTTTCAGGAGACTAGACCAAAGGCCTTCACACTACATTCAGCCATTCACCGATGGTGGCACGCTACGCTGTAGCCATGGCTACCCTGGGGCTCGCTGACAGAAGGCCACTGAAGGCATGTCAGCCGGGTTGAGGAGATCCTAAAGCATTTTTCTAGTGCGTTGCCAGGGTCAGCAGCTCCCACTGAAAACAGCATTAGCAAAGGCATGGGGTGGTTTGCCAGGGGCGCTTTGAGGCCAACACATAGTATTTCTCCATCATCCCTCCAAACTCCTCCAAGGCTCCAGTTTTTGCATGAGAGCGGCCTGCTGCCTCAGGGGTCCCAAAGTCAACCAGGGGCCATAGGCGTCCTTCTGCAGTTTGACAGCATTCCTTATCACCTGTGTCCACCGCCAGGTTTGGGGCACCTTACAGTCACAGCTACGGGCGGCTGCATCGGCAATAAAGCCAAGGGAGACTTAAAGGAATAGTACACCCAAAACATGATTAGCCTTCATTTTCTACTCCCCCCCATGCTGAACAACACTCTGGAGTACTTTTTTGATATCTCAAATGCATCTGGAGATCTGGGAGGCTTCTTGCTGTCTGCTGACATTCAAATAATGGAGGTCTATGGCGCCCGAGGCAGAAAGGTCCATAAAAGTCCACAAAAAACGTGTCAATATTCCTCCATACTGCTCGTCCAATGTATTCCAAGTGTCCTGAGTGGGTAGCATCCAGAATTTACTCGAAACGAAGTCATTTAGAATGTTTTTAGAGCATAAACAGTAGTGTATAGCATTTCCTGAAAGCGCGTTCACGAGTCTACGGAAACCGCGGCAGACCAAACCAGATGAAAGTGCGCATTCAGCGTCTGCTCTGCCGATAATACAAGCGTAGAAGAAGAAATGTGCTGTTTACCTGTGCAAAGAAAGAAACAACGAAAGAAAAATGTCTGAGGACTTCAGTGTTGAGGAAGAGCATGAGTTCTTTGCCGAGCTGAATGCGCTGGTTTGGTCTGCCGGCTTCCGTAGACTCGTGAGCGCGCATGTGCGCGCTTTCAGGAAATCCTATACACTACTGTTTATGCTCTAAAAACATTCTAAATGACTTCGTTTCGAGTAAATTCTGGATGCTACCCACTCAGGACACTTGGAATACATTGGACGAGCAGTATGGAGGAATATTGACACGTTTTTTGTGGACTTTTATGGACCTTTCTGTCTCGGGCCCCATAGACCTCCATTACTTGAATGTCAGCAGACAGCAAGAAGCCTCCCAGATCTCCAGATGCATTTGAGATATCAAAAAAGTACTCCAGAGTGTTGTTCAGCATGGGGGTGAGTAGAAAATGAAGGCTAATCATGTTTTGGGTGTACTATTCCTTTAATGTAACTGTCCTTTCCCAGCTACCCTGCACCTCTGCCAGGGACACTAAGAAGGCCTGCTACTCTGTACTGGCCCCCAGGAGACAGTTAAACTGGGGAGAGAAGCAGGCCCCCCCATGGGCCACTCCAGAGTAGGCGAGTCCAGCCTCTCTCAAGCAGCTGGGTTCCAGAGCCCGGGCCAATCCGACTATTACATGCAGGTATCACTCCCCCTCTTGCACAAGCTCAGGCTCACCCCCCAGCGAGGTCACTTCCTCTGTCCCCAGAGCCAGTTAAAGCGTCTGTGGATCACGCCGCCTCCATCAGCCAGTTCTCTCTGCACCGGTCCCTCATGGTTCCCCCTGCAGGTGGAGGGTTAGCCCACTTGCCTCACTGCTTCAAATTTGGCCTGGCCCGGTTCCTTGAGGAAGAACCTGACCGCCAGGCGCTCACTGGTGAACGCCAACCCCAGAGCTGGCTTCAGGGGCAATGGCTGGCTTTAGTGAGTTCTCCTGGTGGTTTTAATGTCGTATCCTGGAACTGTGGACGCTACACAATGTTGAAGCCCAGCACATCGTTTACCGATAAGGTTTTGGAGCACGGAAGGTGGATGATCATCCTGCTGGTTCTGCTGCTGCCACACCTTAAACTCATCACAGGACCGTCCCTGATGGTGAGTTGACCACTGCAGAGCAGACAGAACACAGTCAGGTTCTGGTCTGGGTCCAGTTCAGCTGCCTGCATGTGTTTGGGTGGGCGGGTTAGTGAGGCTTACTGGTGATCTGCACTGGGAACAGGTGCTCTTCCTGCAGCTGGGACAGTCCATCCTCAACCTGTCTGATTCATGAAGCACCCCAGAGGAACACTGAAACAAAAACACATTCTGCTAAGGTTCTAGCAGGGACCAGGAACTGGGTCCCCAGTCCAAAGTCTGAAGGGGCATCTAAAGGAAAGTGTCTGGTGCCGTATTTCCCAGTGGGAAATACGGCAGACTCCCTCCCACTGTTTTTTACAGGTACCGAACTAGAAGAGCAAAGTCCACTAACTGGATAAAGAGAAATGCTGGTCTGGTTCCTGAGGGTCTTACATGAGCACACCAACAAAAACTGGGCATGTCCTGCAGGGCTCGGTCTCGGAGTTTCCTCTGAAAGAGTTCGTGGATGTCGGGAGGCAAGAAGTGACGAATCTGGAACAACAGCAGCCATTTCTACCTGTGCTGGTTTCACCTGTGCATGTCTCACCTCTCCTGGTCTCACCTGTGTGTCCAGCAGGTTAAAGTAGTCCATGGACTCCTCCTGCACCTTCTGACCTCTGAGATCCGGTTTGCCGCACTGCGGACAGGTGAGCTGGTCCACGCTGCGCTCCCTGATGGCGACGGAGAAAGAAGAGGTGAAGCAGCTCTGGCACAGGAAGCAGGAGCAGTGAGTCATGGTGATCATCTGCAGGGAACGCAAGCAGGGAAGAAGAGTTAGGAGGAAGTATGGCTGCGGGTGCGCTCTGATTGGTTGGCAACACCTCACCTTGCTGAAGGACACCTGTTCACGGCAGATTGGACAGGTGTGTGTCAGGAACTTCAGCGCGGCTGGAAGATTTGGGCTGTGTTGGACTGCCTCCATGACATCATCAACATCGAAGCTCCGCCCCTTCATTGTGGTCAGAGCCAGGAAGGCAGCTGCCTGTTCTGGAGAGAGCCGCGCCGACACCTGAGGGACAGACACAGAGACCGACACGCCTGAGTCCTCTTGGACCCTGGAGGGGGGTCCCATATCTGGGAACCAATGATCCAATCAGAACCAACACACCCAGTTACGATGGAGGCGAGTTCTCACCTGTCTGAGGTCGGCGGTGCCCGTCCCAGGTTCTGACTGTGGACTAGCAGCACCAAGCCTGCCTCCATCCAGGCTCAGCCCTCCCATCATCCTGCTGAGGGCCTCCGAGGGGGGCACACCTGCAGGGAAAACCGATGTTACTGGAGCAGTCTACCTCAGTAGGTCGGAAGGCAGCTCCGCTGCAGCCCGATGGAACCAAACCCTGAAGTCCCAGACGCATCCAGCCACTAATGAGGCTGGCTAAGTCCAACATCTAGACCAGGATCCGGGCCTAGCAGAGGCCACACCTGGGACATCTTCTGAACCTCACAGCCGGGCCTAGCAGAGGCCACACCGGAGACATCTTCTGAACCTCGCAGCCTGGCCTAGCAGAGGCCACACCTGAGACATCTTCACAACCTCACAGCCGGGCCTAGCAGAGGCCACACCTGAGACATCTTCACAACCTCACAGCCAGGCCTAGCAGAGGCCACACCTGAGACATCTTCTGAACCTCGCAGCCTGGCCTAGCAGAGGCCACACCTGAGACATCTTCACAACCTCACAGCCGGGCCTAGCAGAGGCCACACCTGAGACATCTTCACAACCTCACAGCCGGGCCTAGCAGAGGCCACACCTGAGACATCTTCTGAACCTCACAGCCGGGCCTAGCAGAGGCCACACCTGAGACATCTTCTGAACCTCACAGCCAGGCCTAGCAGAGGCCACACCTGAGACATCTTCACAACCTCACAGCCGGGCCTAGCAGAGGCCACACCTGAGACATCTTCTGAACCTCGCAGCCTGGCCTAGCAGAGGCCACACCTGAGACATCTTCTGAACCTCACAGCCGGGCCTAGCAGAGGCCACACCTGAGACATCTTCTGAACCTCACAGCCAGGCCTAGCAGAGGCCACACCTGAGACATCTTCACAACCTCGCAGCCTGGCCTAGCAGAGGCCACAACTGAGACATCTTCACAACCTCACAGCCGGGCCTAGCAGAGGCCACACCTGAGACATCTTCACAACCTCACAGCCGGGCCTAGCAGAGGCCACACCTGAGACATCTTCTGAACCTCGCAGCCAGGCCTAGCAGAGGCCACACCTGAGACATCTTCTGAACCTCACAGCCAGGCCTAGCAGAGGCCACACCTGAGACATCTTCACAACCTCACAGCCAGGCCTAGCAGAGGCCACACCTGAGACATCTTCTGAACCTCACAGCCAGGCCTAGCAGAGGCCACACCTGAGACATCTTCTGAACCTCGCAGCCAGGCCTAGCAGAGGCCACACCTGAGACATCTTCACAACCTCACAGCCGGGCCTAGCAGAGGCCACACCTGAGACATCTTCACAACCTCACAGCCGGGCCTAGCAGAGGCCACACCTGGGACATCTTCACAACCTCACAGCCGGGCCTAGCAGAGGCCGCACCTGAGACATCTTCACAACCTCACAGCCTGGCCTAGCAGAGGCCGCACCTGAGACATCTTCACAACCTCACAGCCTGGCCTAGCAGAGGCCACACCTGGGACATCTTCACAACCTCACAGCCTGGCCTAGCAGAGGCCGCACCTGAGACATCTTCACAACCTCACAGCCGGGCCTAGCAGAGGCCACACCTGAGACATCTTCTGAACCTCGCAGCCTGGCCTAGCAGAGGCCGCACCTGAGACATCTTCACAACCTCACAGCCAGGCCTAGCAGAGGCCACACCTGAGACATCTTCACAACCTCACAGCCAGGCCTAGCAGAGGCCACACCTGAGACACAGTGGCGGCTGGTGAAAAATATTTTTGGTGGGGCTGATATAGCCTAGTGTATGTCTCCAACTAATCCGGAATAAGAATTCAAATAAACAATTGGACAATGAATACAATTTAACAGTAATGACTTAATTTACTATATAATAACAGTAACAGTGATGATTTGGGTCACTGTGACGGGGTTCTTTGGCCTCCAAGAATCCAGGCTCAGTCGGGTTACCGGTGTTGGTGAATTATTGAGCTCAAAATCTCAAAACAGGGTGCAAAAGAAACTAAACATATACAAGATCCTCTGGGCCTCAGCCTCCCTCCAGTTACCAGCAATGTAACAAAGAAACAGAAAACAGAAATGGCCGCTCTTCTTCCCACAGCCCTCATTAAATAGTTTAAGCCCCTCCCCTCAGGCTCTCTTATTTCTGATTTCTTCTCATTAATCAGTTTTGTCCATCTATTACCTCCACAAACAATTGATGTACAAAAACAAATAATTTTTACAACTTAATTCTTTTACACAGATTCATTGACTTATTCAATTACACCAAACTGGGTTTGAACCCAGCAAAGACGCAGGCAGACTGAAGATGACAAGTCCCCATAGCATAAACACGTACACACCCACACCCCCCACATACCCACACACACACACACACACACACACACACACACACACACACACACACACACACACACACACACACACACACACACACACACATACGGCTAACCCCACTGAAATATTAAGTGTGCACCCTCAATACGCCAGCAGGTAACCAGGAACAGCTTGTGTGTTTTAAGTTCATGGAGCTACTGATCTCAGCGCGAGTGTATTGGTCCTCACAAACACAGTATAACAGGAATGTGTGTGTGGCGCGCAAAGTTAGAGAGGTTGTTTTAAGCGACGAGGTGGATTCGTCACAGTCACAATAACCATGACATGAAATGTTCATATCCTACAACAGGGATGTTCTTCTGGCAAACGGGTAGATAAATAAGGATCTCACCGAATTTGGTGGAAGCTGCATCTCGTTCGTTACATACGCCATCGTCCCTCTAATTGTCTGCACCTGCGCTTGGGTTCAGAAGCCTGTAAAAGCGCAGTATTTTCAGCGCCCCATGACCATAAAGTTCCGAGACGCTGATTGGCCATTAAATTCATCTAGCAATAGTACATGATTGACAGATTCTCTGCAAATGTGGCGCAGTCTGATCAGCGCCCCCAGAACAGAGACGGTAGGAGTCTGTCTGTGGAAATCCAGAAATGAATGACAGTAGATAGGAAAATGTAGTTTATATAATTTGTTTTGCTTATAGGTACACAGTCTAGAGAGTAAAACTGACATTTATGAGTTAATTTCTAAAAATATATTTTACGTTTCTCTCTTCTTATCAGGGAGGGCGGTGCCCCAGCGCCCCCTATGAGCTGGCCGCCACTGCTGAGACATCTTCTGAACCTCGCAGCCAGGCCTAGCAGAGGCCACACCTGAGACATCTTCACAACCTCGCAGCCGGGCCTAGCAGAGGCCACACCCGAGACATCTTCACAACCTCGCAGCCGGGCCTAGCAGAGGCCACACCCGAGACATCTTCACAACCTCGCAGCCGGGCCTAGCAGAGGCCACACCCGAGACATCTTCACAACCTCACAGCCGGGCCTAGCAGAGGCCACACCTGAGACATCTTCACAACCTCACAGCCGGGCCTAGCAGAGGCCACACCCGAGACATCTTCACAACCTCACAGCCGGGCCTAGCAGAGGCCACACCCGAGACATCTTCACAACCTCGCAGCTGGGCCTAGCAGAGGCCACACCTGAGACATCTTCACAACCTCGCAGCCAGGCCTAGCAGAGGCCACACCTGAGACATCTTCACAACCTCGCAGCCGGGCCTAGCAGAGGCCACACCTGAGACATCTTCACAACCTCGCAGCCGGGCCTAGCAGAGGCCACACCCGAGACATCTTCACAACCTCGCAGCCGGGCCTAGCAGAGGCCACACCTGAGACATCTTCACAACCTCGCAGCCGGGCCTAGCAGAGGCCACACCCGAGACATCTTCACAACCTCGCAGCCAGGCCTAGCAGAGGCCACACCTGAGACATCTTCACAACCTCGCAGCTGGGCCTAGCAGAGGCCACACCCGAGACATCTTCACAACCTCGCAGCTGGGCCTAGCAGAGGCCACACCCGAGACATCTTCTGAACCTCGCAGCCAGGCCTAGCAGAGGCCACACCTGAGACATCTTCACAACCTCGCAGCCGGGCCTAGCAGAGGCCACACCTGAGACATCTTCACAACCTCGCAGCTGGGCCTAGCAGAGGCCAAACCCGAGACATCTTCACAACCTCGCAGCCAGGCCTAGCAGAGGCCACACCCAAGACATCTTCACAACCTCGCAGCCAGGCCTAGCAGAGGCCACACCTGAGACATCTTCACAACCTCGCAGCCGGGCCTAGCAGAGGCCACACCTGAGACATCTTCTGAACCTCGAAGCCAGGCCTAGCAGAGGCCACACCTGAGACATCTTCACAACCTCGCAGCCGGGCCTAGCAGAGGCCACACCTGAGACATCTTCACAACCTCACAGCCGGGCCTAGCAGAGGCCACACCTGAGACATCTACCCCGTTTACACTACCCTTAAAAAACTGAGCCGAGACCGGTCCGAGCTCAGTAACTGAGATAACTTGTCGTGTGTGAACGGAAACAACCTGAACTGAACCGAGATAGACATAACCGGACCGCGCTAACTGCAGACCAGTTCCCGAGGTGGGTTCGGCTCGGTTTTTTCCTGGCTCGGTTCTCTGATAACAAGAGCGCATGAGCAGAACGCGTCATCGCCGACTGGCTGAACATGCCGATTCACACTCCATTCCAGAAAGTCGGCTTCCCAAAAGCCGACTTTCTCAAGGACATCCGCGCAAGGTTGCCGTCTTCTCCTGACCCACCGCAAACACGGAAGTACAGCAATAATAATCAAGCATAACTTTCTGAATGTGACGGGCGCCGCCATTTTGATTTGCTTGATTCCCTCCTCCTTCGTCTTCTTCTTCTTGGGTTTTACGGCGGTTGACAAACAGCGTTTGGTGCATTACCGCCACCAGCTGCTTGAGTCCCTCCTTCAATCCTAGCAGTAATACCGCACATCGTCACTAGGAGGCGAGGAGTCGAGGCGTCGAGATAACCGAGATAAGTGTGACGTGTGAACGGTCGTCAAAACTGAGCTTGGCCTGGTTACCGATCCAAGCTCGGACCGGTCTGGGCCTGGATCGGTTTTTCAAGGGTAGTGTAAATGGGGCTATCTTCACAACCTCACAGCCGGGCCTAGCAGAGGCCACACCTGAGACATCTTCACAACCTCACAGCCGGGCCTAGCAGAGGCCACACCTGGGACATCTTCTAAACCTAATGGCTAACGCAGACATGATGTCTTTAGACACTGCGGCTGGGTATGTTTGAATCGGAACAATTCTGGTTCTAATTCCTTGTTTTTTTAACTTGGTTCCTATCGATTCTCCAAGAACCATCAAACTTTCCATGTTGTCACTGAGCTGCTATAGGAAGTTCTGCTGGTAGAGCCAGTAGATCAAACCCTGAACTCTAATAAAATCTGATGGATGTTCTGTTTCACTTTTACTGTGTCCAAGTCTGGAGAACACGTCACAAACCAGCTGGTCTCGGACTAAGCAGCTACTGTCTCACCTGAAGGGGAGGAGCCTAGAAAAGGGTTTGTGCTGCAGGAGGAAGGAGGCCCACTGAAGTCAATCCCCATCAGCTCCTCTGTGTACGATGAGCGGACGCATCCCTGCTCCCATTGGCTGGCTGTAAAACAGGGGGAGGAGCCTGATGTCTTACTGTCTGCATGAGCTGACTTCCACTGACAAGAAGAAGGTTAGCAGGATGAGCAGAGAAACAGCAGCATGGAGGCCTCCCAGCAGGAGGTCCTGAAGCCCCCTGCCTCCTCCCACGGCCTGCATGAGCAACCTGTCCCCAGCTCATCCATGCTAATGCTAATGGCACAGCTCTTTGATCCAGCGGTGTGTAGTTTACCTTTGAGTGGAGCCCAAAGGGAGGAGCCCTGGGAGGTTCGCTGGCTCTGTGGCGAAGAGGAGGAGCTGTGGGAGGAAACAGAGACACCATGATGCTGCGTCTCCAGTGGAAACCCATCAATAGGGGATTTTAAAGGCTAATAACAATAATAGAGCCTTTAACCAACTGATAGCAGATAAATAACAGCCAGAATATACAAGACTGACCCTGGACACACTCGGGATTACCACCGTCCAACAGCAGGCTAAATTCTGCTAACAACAAAAACAGGATTCTAGACAAAGAAACAGAAAACTAGAGATTTACAATATTCTTCCTCTCTTGCTTCCTCCAGGAGATGGAGACTCCGAGAGTCCATCCAGACTCCCCTCTATCAAGACTCCTCCTCCAGCTCCTCCCGGGCCAGCAAGAGATAGTCATCCATGGACTCCTAGTCCTCCTGGTCCTCCTGTTGGTGGGACGTCCCTGGAACCCCTCAGAGGGAGGCATCCATCTGATAAAGATGATCCTCCTCAGCTGACTCCTCTGGAGGAGAAGCAGCTCTACTCTGATCCACTACCCTCCTCTCCAGGGCCCTGGCAGAAGCCCACAGGCTGAGGACCATGATCCCCCTACAGCTGGAACACCCCCTCTGGTCCTCCTTCCAATGCAAAGGAACCGCTCTGCAAGGATAGGACCGCTCTGCCAGGATAAAAGGTGGAGGTCCCCTCTGATCTCCACCTGCTCCCTCATAGGTCCCCCTCAGGTAGAGGTCCCCTCTGATCTCCACCTGCTCCCTCATGGGTCCCCCTCAGGTAGAGGTCCCCTCTGATCTCCACCCACTCCCTCATGGGTCCCCCTCAGGTGGAGGTCCCCTCTGATCTCCACCCACTCCCTCATGGGTCCCCCTCAGGTGGAGGTCCCCTCTGATCTCCACCTGCTCCCTCATGGGTCCCCCTCAGGTAGAGGTCCCCTCTGATCTCCACCCACTCCCTCATGGGTCCCCCTAAGGTGGAGGTCCCCTCTGATCTCCACCCACTCCCTCATGGGTCCCCCTCAGGTAGAGGTCCCCTCTGATCTCCACCCACTCCCTCATGGGTCCCCCTCAGGTGGAGGTCCCCTCTGATCTCCACCCACTCCCTCATGGGTCCCCCTCAGGTGGAGGTCCCCTCTGATCTCCACCTGCTCCCTCATGGGTCCCCCTCAGGTAGAGGTCCCCTCTGATCTCCACCCACTCCCTCATGGGTCCCCCTCAGGTGGAGGTCCCCTCTGAGAGATGGTCTTTTTAATGCTGAACCTGAATCCTCCAGAACTCACCGGACCTCCTCAGCTCCAGGGGGCGGGGCTTCTTCCACAGGGCGGGTGTAGAGGGGCGTGTCCTTCTGGAAGGCAGCCCTCATCTCCGACAGCAACAGGGACAGGCTGGACACACCCTGACAGGAAATGACATCACAGAGCTGTGAGCGTGGCCCAGCCTGCAGCAGGTATGGGAGCTGAGTCAGGAGAACCTTACCGGAGTCCAGTTCTGGAGCCCGTCCAGACTCACGGTACCAGAAGAATCCACGTAAGGACAGAATGGATTGATCACCATAGTGGCGGTGGGACAGACAAAGCAGCGAGGGCGGGACAGCGGGTGGGTCTCATGGAGCCAGACGCACACCGGGATGTTATAGTGACTGTCTAAGGAGACACCAGAACCATCAGAACTCTGGACCGGACCTGAAGAAGCAGAACCAGGAAGGAGGATGTTCTGACCTTGATGGAGAACCGGAATGGTTCCAGACAGATGGACCAGCTTCCTCTGCTCCTTATTTGGAAAACCTGGAATAGAACAACTGCTGATACTTCTGGGAAACTGTGGACCACAACCGGGTCAACTCAGAACCTTAAAGCAGACTCTGGACAGACTCTAGTAAAACCTTCTAACGGAACCTTCTAACAGAACCAGACAGCAGAACCTGCAGAATCTGTTAGTTCAATCTCTAACGTTCTGCTCTCTCTGTAGCTTCATCTGGTCTGTTCCTGTTTGGCTGTGACTCCATCCTGGAAAGAAATATCAGCTGTGCTGCTGCCATCAACACCTTTGTTTCTAGATGTTGGAGCTTGGCCTGTTTTCCAGTGTAGTCCTGTTTCTCTGACTGTGACTAACTGGATGTGTTCTCTTCATCCTCTGACATGGGAGACTTTAGGTCGGATCAATTCAGGCTTTAGGCTCGATTAATTAAGACTTAAGGCTGGGTCAATTTAGACTGTAGACCAGATCAATTCAGGCTTTAGGTCGGATCAATTTAAGACTTTAGGCTGGATCAATTCAAGACTTTAGGCCGGATAAATTCAAGACTTTAGGCTGGATCCATTTAGACTTTAGGCTAGATCAATTCAGACATTAGGCCCGATCAATTCAGACTTTAGTCCAGATCAATTCAGACTTTAGACCAGATCAATTCAGACTTTAGACCAGATCAATTCAGACTTTAGGCTGGATCCATTTAGGCTTTAGGCCCGATCAATTCAGACTTTAGACTAGATCCATTTAGACTTTAGGATGGATCAATTCAGGCTTTAGGCTCGATTAATTAAGACTTAAGGCTGGCTCAATTTAGACTTTAGACCAGATCAATTTAGACTTTAGACTGGATCAATTCAGACTTTAGGTCGAATCAATTCAAGACTTTAGGCTGGATCCATTTAGGCTTTGGGCTAGATCAATTCAGACATTAGTCCGGATCAATTCAGACTTTAGGCTGGATCAATTCAAGACTTTAGGCTGGATCCATTTAGACTTTAGGCTAGATCAATTCAGACATTAGTCCGGATCAATTCAGACTTTAGGCCCGATCAATTCAGACTTTAGACTAGATCCATTTAGACTTTAGGATGGATCAATTCAGGCTTTAGGCTGGATCAATTCAGACATTAGACTAGATCCATTTAGACTTTAGGATGGATCAATTCAGATTTTAGGCTGGATCATTTGAGACATTAGGCTGGATCAATTCAGACTTTAGGTTGGATCAATTCAGGCTTTAGGCTCGATTAATTAAGACTTAAGGCTGGGTCAATTTAGACTGTAGACCAGATCAATTCAGGCTTTAGGCTGGATCAATTCAGACTTTAGGTCGGATCAATTTATGACTTTAGGCCGGATCAATTCAAGACTTTAGGCCGGATCAATTCAAGACTTTAGGCTGGATCCATTTAGACTTTAGGCTAGATCAATTCAGACATTAGGCCCGATCAATTCAGACTTTAGTCCAGATCAATTCAGACTTTAGATCAGATCAATTCAGACTTTAGGCTGGATCCATTTAGGCTTTAGGCCCGATCAATTCAGACTTTAGACTAGATCAATTCAGACTTTAGGTTGGATCAATTCAGGCTTTAGGCTCGATTAATTAAGACTTTAGACTGGATCAATTCAGATTTTAGGTCAGATCAATTCAAGACTTTAGGCTGGATCCATTTAGGCTTTGGGCTAGATCAATTCAGACATTAGTCCGGATCAATTCAGACTTTAGGCTGGATCAATTCAAGACTTTAGGCTGGATCCATTTAGACTTTAGGCTAGATCAATTCAGACATTAGTCCGGATCAATTCAGACTTTAGGCCCGATCAATTCAGACTTTAGACTAGATCCATTTAGACTTTAGGATGGATCAATTCAGGCTTTAGGCTGGATCAATTCAGACATTAGACTAGATCCATTTAGACTTTAGGATGGATCAATTCAGATTTTAGGCTGGATCATTTGAGACATTAGGCTGGATCAATTCAGACATTAGGTTGGATCAATTCAAGACTTTAGGCTGGATCCATTTAGACTTTAGGCTAGATCAATTCAGACATTAGTCCGGATCAATTCAGACTTTAGGCTGGATCAATTCAGACTTTAGGCTGGATCAATTCAAGACTTTAGGCTGGATCCATTTAGGCTTTAGGCTAGATCAATTCAGACATTAGTCCGGATCAATTCAGACTTTAGGCTGGATCAATTCAGACTTTAGGCTGGATCAATTCAAGACTTTAGGCTGGATCAATTCAAGACTTTAGGCTGGATCAATTCAAGACTTTAGGCTGGATCCATTTAGACTTTAGGCTAGATCAATTCAGACATTAGTCCGGATCAATTCAGACTTTAGGCTGGATCAATTCAGACTTTAGGCTGGATCAATTCAAGACTTTAGGCTGGATCCATTTAGGCTTTAGGCTAGATCAATTCAGACATTAGTCCGGATCAATTCAGACTTTAGGCTGGATCAATTCAGACTTTAGGCTGGATCAATTCAAGACTTTAGGCTGGATCAATTCAAGACTTTAGGCTGGATCCATTTAGACTTTAGGCTAGATCAATTCAGACATTAGTCCGGATCAATTCAGACTTTAGGCTGGATCAATTCAAGACTTTAGGCTGGATCAATTCAAGACTTTAGGCTGGATCAATTCAAGACTTTAGGCTGGATCCATTTAGACATTAGGCTGGATCAATTCAGACTTTAGGTTGGATCAATTCAAGACTTTAGGCTGGATCCATTTAGACTTTAGGCTAGATCAATTCAGACATTAGTCCGGATCAATTCAGACTTTAGGCCCGATCAATTCAGACTTTAGACTAGATCCATTTAGACTTTAGGATGGATCAATTCAGGCTTTAGGCTGGATCAATTCAGACATTAGACTAGATCCATTTAGACTTTAGGATGGATCAATTCAGATTTTAGGCTGGATCATTTGAGACATTAGGCTGGATCAATTCAGACATTAGGTTGGATCAATTCAAGACTTTAGGCTGGATCCATTTAGGCTTTAGGCTAGATCAATTCAGACATTAGTCGGGATCAATTCAGACTTTAGGCTGGATCAATTCAGACTTTAGGCTGGATCAATTCAAGACTTTAGGCTGGATCAATTCAAGACTTTAGGCTGGATCAATTCAAGACTTTAGGCTAGATCAATTCAGACATTAGTCCGGATCAATTCAGACTTTAGGCTGGATCAATTCAGACTTTAGGCTGGATCAATTCAAGACTTTAGGCTGGATCAATTCAAGACTTTAGGCTGGATCCATTTAGACATTAGGCTGGATCAATTCAGACTTTAGGTTGGATCAATTCAAGACTTTAGGCTGGATCCATTTAGACTTTAGGCTAGATCAATTCAGACATTAGTCCGGATCAATTCAGACTTTAGGCCCGATCAATTCAGACTTTAGACTAGATCCATTTAGACTTTAGGATGGATCAATTCAGGCTTTAGGCTGGATCAATTCAGAGATTAGACTAGATCCATTTAGACTTTAGGATGGATCAATTCAGACTTTAGGTTGGATCAATTCAAGACTTTAGGCTGGATCCATTTAGGCTTTAGGCTAGATCAATTCAGACATTAGTCCGGATCAATTCAGACTTTAGGCTGGATCAATTCAAGACTTTAGGCTGGATCCATTTAGACTTTAGGCTAGATCAATTCAGACATTAGTCCGGATCAATTCAGACTTTAGGCCCGATCAATTCAGACTTTAGACTAGATCCATTTAGACTTTAGGATGGATCAATTCAGATTTTAGGTCGGATCAATTCAAGACTTTAGGCTGGATCCATTTAGACTTTAGGCTAGATCAATTCAGATTTTAGGCTAGATCAATTCATAGTTTTAGAGTTGCTGGTTTGAATCTGAGTTCAGTTAATCCTGCTTCCCCCTGAGATGAGCTTTTCTTCTCTGTGGTTCCAGATGTTTCCCTCATATCCATCGTTGTCTTTTTGTCCTCAGATTCTTTTCTACAAACAGAACTTTGTCCAGAAAACCTGGAGGAACAAACATATTGAATAGAAAGTACACCAATGTTCTAGGAGAACCAGATCCATTCTAATATTCATTTTCTATGTGATGGCTGAGGAAGGAAACCATCAATGTCCCTCTGTGAGCTGCGTGTGTTTGGTTCCTACAGCGTGGAGTAGACTCAAAGTTCTACTGAGCCACCAACCTGATCTATCTGCATTAGATCTAGAATTGGTTCTCCTCCAGGCTCTAAATGTTCTGGATCAGAACCTGGACCTTCAGAAGAACCGATTCTGTATTCTGGTTCATGGTTCTGAGGATCAGGATCTGGTTCTGAGGTTCCGGGGACCCTCAGAACCAGTCAGAAGCTGGACCTTCAGGAGAACCGGTTCTGTATTCTGGTTTATGGTTCTGAGGTTCAGGGGACCCTCAGAACCAGTCAGAACCTGGACCTTCAGAAGAACCGGTTCTGTATTCTGGTTTATGGTTCTGAGGTTCAGGGGACCCTCAGAACCAGTCAGAAGCTGGACCTTCAGGAGAACCGGTTCTGTATTCTGGTTCATGGTTCTGAGGTTCAGGGGACCCTCAGAACCAGTCAGAACCTGGACCTTCAGGAGAACCGGTTCTGTATTCTGGTTCATGGTTCTGAGGTTCAGGGGACCCTCAGAACCAGTCAGAACCTGGACCTTCAGAAGAACCGGTTCTGTATTCTGGTTCATGGTTCTGAGGTTCAGGGGACCCTCAGAACCAGTCAGAAGCTGGACCTTCAGGAGAACCGGTTCTGTATTCTGGTTTATGGTTCTGAGGACCCTCAGAACCAGTCAGAACCTGGACTTTCAGGAGAACCGGTTCTGTATTCTGGTTTATGGTTCTGAGGACCCTCAGAACCAGTCAGAACCTGGACTTTCAGGAGAACCGGTTCTGTATTCTGGTTCATGGTTCTGAGGTTCAGGGGACCCTCAGAACCAGTCAGAACCTGGACCTTCAGGAGAACCGGTTCTGTATTCTGGTTCATGGTTCTGAGGTTCAGGGGACCCTCAGAACCAGTCAGAAGCTGGACCTTCAGGAGAACCGGTTCTGTATTCTGGTTTATGGTTCTGAGGACCCTCAGAACCAGTCAGAACCTGGACTTTCAGGAGAACCGGTTCTGTATTCTGGTTCATGGTTCTGAGGTTCTGAGGACCCTCAGAACCAGTCAGAAGCTGGACCCAATGATGGGCACCAAGCAGGCAGAGCAGCTGCTCTCTGGCTCCCCCTGCCGGCCGCAGGATGAAGCGCAGCCTCAGTAAACTCACAGTAGAAGTCCACCCAGAGCCGCAGGTCACCGAACCGAGCCCGAACCGACTGCAGGTCCCTCAGAGTCTCCGCGGGGTACCGGTATCCGCACTGACCGAAGGAGGAGGTTCTGTTAGCAGCAGGCCAGGACCAGAACCAGGACCTGGACCCGGTTAGATCCGTTGAAGTTCGTCTTACCTCCGTCAGAGTCCGCCGCTCCAGTTCTGCTCCGACCAGAGGCATCTCACCGCAGAACCGGAACCAGAACCGGAACCAGGTCCTACATCCCGGGCCGCGGACTCCCAGACTAAACTCCGGGACGGGACTTCAGCCTCTGGGGCTTCATAATAAGAGCAGAGCCATTACGGTGGCCGCCATATTGGAGAGGGCAGGGAGATCTTCTACTTCTTGTTGCGTTGTTCTTGTACTGCGGTTGGCAAAAAACTTTATGTGAGCTTTACCGCCACCAGCTGGTGGGGAGTGTGAACCACATGGCTAAAAGAGAAATACAGTGGGGGAAATAAGCATTGACCCCTTGCTGATTCTGCAGGTTTGCCCACTAACAAAGAATGCAACAATCTATAATTTAATCATCTGTACATTCTAACAGTGAGACAGAATCCCAAAGAAAATTCCAGAAATTCACATCATATGAATTTATTAAAATTGAAACCATCTGATGAGGAAAAATAAGTATTTGACCCCCTACCACACAGCATGTTAATATTTAGTAGAAAGCCATTATTGGCCAGCTCAGATGTCAAACGGTTTTTAAAGTTGGTGACAAGGTTTGTGCACATTTCAGCAGGGATATTGGCCCACTCCTCCCTGCAGACAGCCTCCACATTTCAGCAGGAATATTGGCCCACTCCTCCCTGCAGACAGCCTCCACATTTCAGCAGGAATATTGGCCCACTCCTCCCTGCAGACAGCCTCCACATTTCAGCAGGGATATTGGCCCACTCCTCCCTGCAGACAGCCTCCACATTTCAGCAGGAATATTGGCCCACTCCTCCCTGCAGACAGCCTCCACATTTCAGCAGGAATATTGGCCCACTCCTCCCTGCAGACAGCCTCCACATTTCAGCAGGAATATTGGCCCACTCCTCCCTGCAGACAGCCTCCACATTTCAGCAGGGATATTGGCTCACTCCTCCCTGCAGACAGCCTCCACATTTCAGCAGGAATATTGGCCCACTCCTCCCTGCAGACAGCCTCCACATTTCAGCAGGAATATTGGCCCACTCCTCCCTGCAGACAGCCTCCACATTTCAGCAGGAATATTGGCCCACTCCTCCCTGCAGACAGCCTCCACATTTCAGCAGGAATATTGGCCCACTCCTCCCTGCAGACAGCCTCCACATTTCAGCAGGAATATTGGCCCACTCCTCCCTGCAGACAGCCTCCACATTTCAGCAGGGATATTGGCCCACTCCTCCCTGCAGACAGCCTCCACATTTCAGCAGGGATATTGGCCCACTCCTCCCTGCAGACAGCCTCCACATTTCAGCAGGGATATTGGCCCACTCCTCCCTGCAGACAGCCTCCACATTTCAGCAGGGATATTGGCCCACTCCTCCCTGCAGACAGCCTCCACATTTCAGCAGGGATATTGGCCCACTCCTCCCTGCAGACAGCCTCCACATTTCAGCAGGAATATTGGCCCACTCCTCCCTGCAGACAGCCTCCACATTTCAGCAGGGATATTGGCCCACTCCTCCCTGCAGACAGCCTCCACATTTCAGCAGGGATATTGGCCCACTCCTCCCTGCAGACAGCCTCCACATTTCAGCAGGAATATTGGCCCACTCCTCCCTGCAGACAGGCTCCACATTTCAGCAGGGATATTGGCCCACTCCTCCCTGCAGACAGCCTCCACATTTCAGCAGGAATATTGGCCCACTCCTCCCTGCAGACAGCCTCCACATTTCAGCAGGGATATTGGCCCACTCCTCCCTGCAGACAGGCTCCACATTTCAGCAGGAATATTGGCCCACTCCTCCCTGCAGACAGGCTCCACATTTCAGCAGGAATATTGGCCCACTCCTCCCTGCAGACAGCCTCCACATTTCAGCAGGAATATTGGCCCACTCCTCCCTGCAGACAGCCTCCACATTTCAGCAGGGATATTGGCCCACTCCTCCCTGCAGACAGCCTCCACATTTCAGCAGGATATTGGCCCACTCCTCCCTGCAGACAGCCTCCACATTTCAGCAGGAATATTGGCCCACTCCTCCCTGCAGACAGCCTCCACATTTCAGCAGGGTATTGGCCTCACTCCTCCCTGCAGACAGCTCCCACATTTCAGCAGGAGATATTGGCCCACCCTCCCTGCAGACAGCCTCCACATTTCAGCAGGAATATTGGCCCACTCCTCCCTGCAGACAGCCTCCACATTTCAGCAGGGATATTGGCCCACTCCAATCCCTGCAGACAGCCTCCACATTTCAGCAGGAATATTGGCCCCCCTCCTCCCGCAGACAGCCTCCACATTTCAGCAGCAGGAACATGGCCCACTCCTCCCTGGCAGACAGCCTCCACATTTCACGGGAAATATTGGCCCATTTCTCCCTGGCAGACAAGCCTCCACATTTCAGCAGGGAATATTGGCCTACTCCTCCCTGCGACAGCCCCACATTCACAGGCAAGGATATATGGGCACAATACCCTTCCCTGCAGACAGCCTCCACATTATCAGCAGAATATTGGCCCACTCTCCTGCAGACAGACCTCCACAATTCAGCATGAATATTGGCCAAACCCCTCCCTGCAGACAGCCCTCCACATTTCATTAGTGAATATTGGCCCAATGTCCTCCTGCATGAAAAGCCTCCACATTTCAGCAGGAATATTGGCCCACTCCTCCCTGCAGACAGCCTCCACATTTCAGCAGGGATATTGGCCCACTCCTCCCTGCAGACAGCCTCCACATTTCAGCAGGGATATTGGCCCACTCCTCCCTGCAGACAGCCTCCACATTTCAGCAGGAATATTGGCCCACTCCTCCCTGCAGACAGCCTCCACATTTCAGCAGGAATATTGGCCCACTCCTCCCTGCAGACAGCCTCCACATTTCAGCAGGAATATTGGCCCACTCCTCCCTGCAGACAGCCTCCACATTTCAGCAGGATATTGGCCCACTCCTCCCTGCAGACAGCCTCCACATTTCAGCAGGGATATTGGCCCACTCCTCCCTGCAGACAGCCTCCACATTTCAGCGGGGAATATTGGCCCACTCCTCCCTGCAGACAGCCTCCACATTTCAGCAGGGATATTGGCCCACTCCTCCCTGCAGACAGCCTCCACATTTCAGCAGGAATATTGGCCCACTCCTCCCTGCAGACAGCCTCCACATTTCAGCAGGAATATTGGCCCACTCCTCCCTGCAGACAGCCTCCACATTTCAGCAGGAATATTGGCCCACTCCTCCCTGCAGACAGCCTCCACATTTCAGCAGGGATATTGGCCCACTCCTCCCTGCAGACAGCCTCCACATTTCAGCAGGGATATTGGCCCACTCCTCCCTGCAGACAGCCTCCACATTTCAGCAGGGATATTGGCCCACTCCTCCCTGCAGACAGCCTCCACATTTCAGCAGGAATATTGGCCCACTCCTCCCTGCAGACAGCCTCCACATTTCAGCAGGAATATTGGCCCACTCCTCCCTGCAGACAGCCTCCACATTTCAGCAGGAATATTGGCCCACTCCTCCCTGCAGACAGCCTCCACATTTCAGCAGGAATATTGGCCCACTCCTCCCTGCAGACAGCCTCCACATTTCAGCAGGGATATTGGCCCACTCCTCCCTGCAGACAGCCTCCACATTTCAGCAGGGATATTGGCCCACTCCTCCCTGCAGACAGCCTCCACATTTCAGCAGGGAATATTGGCCCACTCCTCCCTGCAGACAGCCTCCACATTTCAGCAGGGATATTGGCCCACTCCTCCCTGCAGACAGCCTCCACATTTCAGCAGGAATATTGGCCCACTCCTCCCTGCAGACAGCCTCCACATTTCAGCAGGGATATTGGCCCACTCCTCCCTGCAGACAGCCTCCACATTTCAGCAGGGATATTGGCCCACTCCTCCCTGCAGACAGCCTCCACATTTCAGCAGGGATATTGGCCCACTCCTCCCTGCAGACAGCCTCCACATTTCAGCAGGGATATTGGCCCACTCCTCCCTGCAGACAGCCTCCACATTTCAGCAGGATATTGGCCCACTCCTCCCTGCAGACAGCCTCCACATTTCAGCAGGAATATTGGCCCACTCCTCCCTGCAGACAGCCTCCACATTTCAGCAGGGATATTGGCCCACTCCTCCCTGCAGACAGACTCCACATTTCAGCAGGGATATTGGCCCACTCCTCCCTGCAGACAGCCTCCACATTTCAGCAGGAATATTGGCCCACTCCTCCCTGCAGACAGCCTCCACATTTCAGCAGGAATATTGGCCCACTCCTCCCTGCAGACAGCCTCCACATTTCAGCAGGGATATTGGCCCACTCCTCCCTGCAGACAGCCTCCACATTTCAGCAGGGATATTGGCCCACCTTGATGTGCTTCTTCTTCAGCCACTCTGTTGTTGCCATGGCGATGTGCTTAGGGTGGCTGTGGTGCTGAAACACCCATCCTCCACCCATCTTCAGCTCTCTCACTGAGGGAAGGAGATGTTGGTCCAGAATTCCACCATACATGGCCCCGTCCATCCTCCCCTCAATACCATGGAGTTGTCCCGCCCCCTTGGCTGAAAAGCCCCCCCAAAGCATGATGTTGCCACCACCATGCTTGATGGTGGAGATGGTGTTCTTTGGGTTGTTCTCTGAGTTCTTTGCCCTCCAAACACGAGTTGAGGCCAAAAAGTTCTATTGTGGTCTCATCTGACCACATCACCTTCTTCCAGGCCTCTTCTGAGTCGTCCAGGTGGTGAACGGCGACCTTCATGCGGGCCTGAACATGTTTCTTCTTGAGCAGGGGGACGTTGCGCGCTGCAGGATTTCAATCCCTGACGGCGTAGTGTGTTACCAACCGTTTCTTTGGTAACTGTGGTCCCAGCCGCCTTCAGCTGATTCATCAGTTCCCCCCTTGTGGTTTTGGGATGATTCCTCGCCGTTGGCATGATCAGGGACACCCCACCAGGCCAGATCCTGTGTGGAGGCCCAGACCGAGGGAGGTTGCTTCTTCCATTTCCTGATAACTGCACCAACAGTTGATCTTTTCTCTCCAAGTTGCTTCCTGATTCTCTTGCAGCCCATCCCAGCCATCTGCAGATCAATCATGTCCCTGATGTCCGTAGAAAGCTCTTTGGTCTCGCCCATGGTGGTGATGTTGGATGCTGACAGGTGTCTTTCATACAGGTAACGAGGTGAGGCAGGTGGATTTGATGTAGATAATTGGTTGGGATTGGGGCTGAGTCTGAAAGAAAGACTAACTGGCTGGTAGGAGCCAGAATGCTTGCTGTGTGGTAGGGGGTCAAATACTTGTTTTTCCTCATCAGATGGTTTCAATTTTAATAAATTCATATGATGTGAATTTCTGGAATTTTCTTTGGGATTCTGTATCACTGTTAGAATGTACAGATGATTAAATTATAGATTGTTGCATTCTTTGATGGTGGGCAAACCTGCAGAATCAGCAAGGGGTCAATGCTTATCTCCCCCACTGTATCTATTCTATTATATAATGAAATCTTTCCCTGGTTTTCTGATGGAATCATCAGCTTCCCTCCAACTCTTAGGCAACTGCCCATCCTCCATATTCTATTATATATATATCTATTAATATAGAAGATTCACTTAAAATTACATGATAAATTGGATCTTTTCCTGGAGCTGATAACTAATCCTTTTTAAAAGCCTTATTATTGTAAACAACATATTTAATGGATCATTTTTATCTCCTATTTCCTGTAATAAATCCTTGTTCTCTAAAATCCTCTTTTCTCTTCGTTTTTTTCCAACTATGAATTTAAATAAATATATTTACCAACATTTTTGCCTTTTCTCTGTAACTAACTGCTGTTTTAATCTTTTTAATTGTTGCCCAAACCTTAGATATATCTGCCCCCCTCCCTAATGAATTACACAAACTCTCTTTTTGCATTTTTGATCATTCTTCTTACATGAGGGATACAGACGTATGGTGCTACTGGGAGCACTGGGCCTGATGGTTTATCCAGTTTATCCAGTCTGGGCTGGATGTCATTCTCCTCATTCAACCAGTTTTCAGGACTTTTAAAGCCAGACTGGTTGCAAATGGAAGGAAATGTTTCAGAAAATCTTATTAGAAAGCTTTAGGTGAAAGGTTTCCATAAAGCAGTTACACCCAGACAGGAATATTTGGATTATTTTTATTCAATAAAATACTTTCATTTATAACTTTTTATCTATTTATTTTTTCTCCTGACCCCCCCAGCAGGACGCCACCCGCCGACCTTTATGTCTTCCTCCTCCCATCTCACTTCCTGTTTGCCTACACTGAAAAATAAGACGTCAGAGGAGCCAAACATCGGCTCTGTTCGAAAACCTAGGACGCATCCTTATAAGGCCAGATTCGAAGGCCGATGACGTCATAGCGCGGCGCCGAGGTCTGGTCGGATTCCAAGAGTCCTCGTTATGCGGCCTTAAAATGCGTCCTTCTTTTTGCCCGATTTGAAGGACGGTGTAGGTACCAGATTGACTCGGGGGCCTGCGCCTTTTGATGACGTCACAATACATAATTGTTTTAACGTTTGCACAATTGCGCAAAACATTTTGATTGGTCTGGACAGCTTACTAAAGTAATTATAGCGGGGTGTAGGTTTTATTCGAAAGCGGGATTGCGGTTTGTGAACGGACAATTTTACGAAGAAATTCTCCATGGTCCCTGCGCCTCCCGATGACGTCACCGAATTCGCCATGGGCCTTGCGCCTCCCGATGACGTGACATTATGGCAACGCCACTCAAACAAACTACATTGAGCCCGCGGTCTGCATTTGTAACGAGAATAAATTCAGGAGAATGAAGCTAAAGGGATACAAAAAATAAACTTGTAATATTACAAAAACAAAAATACTACGAATACAAAGTATATTCAGAGATTAAAGTCCCTCTGATACTGTTTGACTGAGAAACTGCAGATTTGCCACATTTAAGATGGCGGACGCTCTGACGCATCTCAAAAGGCGCAGGCCCCCGAGTCAATCTGGTACCTACACCGGGTCTGATGTATCCTCGGTATCCTTGGATATCCCAGGATTCATTGCGAGACCAAGCAAGCCGTGATCAGAGGAAAGGTTACTTGGCGCCGAACAGTGGTGAAAATTGGAAGTTCAGTTTAATATAATCCAGTCAGTGAATAGTTCCGTCTGAAATGAATGAAAATAGTTGTTTTAATGGTTATAGAGTCAGATATGTGGCGGTAATGTTTGATTTATCTAAAGGTTTTAATCTGTTACTGATTAAATGGGTTTGGCTGGAATTTAAGGACAGATTCTAATAGATCTGCAGGGTGGGGACTATAAATCTGATAGGATTTTTATCTTTTTATTGTTGTTTTGCACAATTTGCTTAACTAAGTATTTTTTGTTGTTGAATATTAGAGATTTTGCAGATATATTTTTTGATAAATACATTGTTTAGATTTACTTATATCTTTCTACCCCTTTTATAGAATAGAATAGAATAAATCCCTTTATTGTCCCACAATGGGCAAATTTACAGCAGCAGAAAGATTATTGAAAATGGTCACACAAATGAGGACCTTAGAAAAATGTCTAAGAATAACATAATAGGGAAGAGTTAAAATATAAACAATAAAATACTGTAAAGTGTTTTAACAATATAAAACTGGAGAATAAATAACCAATATGCAGCTATGGACATTTTTACAGTGATGGATATTTGAAAATAGCAGCAACATCAGAGATGTGCAGAATGACAGCAGCAGGTTATTTAACTGACTAAGGTTTCTATCATTACATTTGATTTGATTTGTTCCTGCTCCCGGTGGTTGGAACCTTTATTCCACTCTGGATTAAATCAGTCTTTGTTGACTTTATAATATAAAATAAGTAAACAAACAGTTTTGAAAACTTCTGTATTCATTCTTTTCCTGCTTTGTGTGTCAACGTTCACGGTTGCTAAGCAACAGAGCATACGGCGGTAAAACCCGCCGAAGGGTAGACCTGGTTGAATTCACAGACTAAACTCTTCTGGTCTCCTTTTTTTCAAGGACTTCAAAGGATCCAGTCTAGGTAGACCGCGTCCTTGGAGGATCCAGTCTAGGTAGACCGCGTCCTTGGAGGATGCAGTCTAGGTAGACCGCGTCCTTGGAGGATGCAGTCTAGGTAGACCGCGTCCTTGGAGGATGCAGTCTAGGTAGACCGCGTCCTTGGAGGATCCAGTCTAGGTAGACCGCCTCCTTGGAGGATCCAGTCTAGGTAGACCGCCTCCTTGGAGGATCCAGTCTAGGTAGACCGCGTCCTTGGAGGATCTAGTCTAGGTAGACCGCGTCCTTGGAGGATCCAGTCTAGGTAGACCGCGTCCTTGGAGGATGCAGTCTAGGTAGACCGCATCCTTGGAGGATCCAGTCTAGGTAGACCGCCTCCTTGGAGGATCCAGTCTAGGTAGACCGCGTCCTTGGAGGATCCAGTCTAGGTAGACCGCGTCCTTGGAGGATCCAGTCTAGGTAGACCGCCTCCTTGGAGGATCCAGTCTAGGTAGACCGCCTCCTTGGAGGATCCAGTCTAGGTAGACCGCGTCCTTGGAGGATCTAGTCTAGGTAGACCGCGTCCTTGGAGGATCCAGTCTAGGTAGACCGCCTCCTTGGAGGATCCAGTCTAGGTAGACCGCGTCCTTGGAGGATCCAGTCTAGGTAGACCGCCTCCTTGGAGGATCCAGTCTAGGTAGACCGCGTCCTTGGAGGATCTAGTCTAGGTAGACCGCGTCCTTGGAGGATCCAGTCTAGGAGCAGAATCCAGGCAGAAGCAGAAAGCTGCTAATGCCAGGAGAACCGACCCCTTCTGCAGATAATCCCAGGAGAACCGACGCCTTCTGCAGATAATCCCAGGAGAACCGACGCCTTCTGCAGATAATCCCAGGAGAACCGACCCTTCTGCAGATAATCCCATATAATCCCAGGAGAACCGACCCTTCTGCAGATAATCCCATATAATCCCAGGAGAACCGACCCTTCTGCAGATAATCCCATATAATCCCAGGAGAACCGACCCTTCTGCAGATAATCCCATATAATCCCAGGAGAACCGACCCTTCTGCAGATAATCCCAGGAGAACCGACCCTTCTACAGATAATCCCAGGAGAACCGACGCCTTCTGCAGATAATCCCAGGAGAACCGACCCTTCTGCAGATAATCCCATATAATCCCAGGAGAACCGACCCTTCTGCAGATAATCCCATATAATCCCAGGAGAACCGACCCTTCTGCAGATAATCCCATATAATCCCAGGAGAACCGACCCTTCTGCAGATAATCCCAGATAATCCCAGGAGAACCGACCCTTCTGCAGATAATCCCAGGAGAACCGACCCTTCTGCAGATAATCCCAGGAGAACCGACCCCTTCTACAGATAATCCCAGGAGAACCGACCCTTCTGCAGATAATCCCAGGAGAACCGACCCCTTCTACAGATAATCCCAGGAGAACCGACGCCTTCTACAGATAATCCCAGGAGAACCGACGCCTTCTGCAGATAATCCCAGGAGAACCGACCCTTCTGCAGATAATCCCATATAATCCCAGGAGAACCGACCCTTCTGCAGATAATCCCATATAATCCCAGGAGAACCGACCCTTCTGCAGATAATCCCATATAATCCCAGGAGAACCGACCCTTCTGCAGATAATCCCATATAATCCCAGGAGAACCGACCCTTCTGCAGATAATCCCAGATAATCCCAGGAGAACCGACCCTTCTGCAGATAATCCCATATAATCCCAGGAGAACCGACCCTTCTGCAGATAATCCCAGATAATCCCAGGAGAACCGACCCTTCTGCAGATAATCCCATATAATCCCAGGAGAACCGACCCTTCTGCAGATAATCCCAGGAGAACCGACCCTTCTACAGATAATCCCAGGAGAACCGACGCCTTCTGCAGATAATCCCAGGAGAACCGACCCTTCTGCAGATAATCCCATATAATCCCAGGAGAACCGACCCTTCTGCAGATAATCCCATATAATCCCAGGAGAACCGACCCTTCTGCAGATAATCCCATATAATCCCAGGAGAACCGACCCTTCTGCAGATAATCCCAGATAATCCCAGGAGAACCGACCCTTCTGCAGATAATCCCAGGAGAACCGACCCTTCTGCAGATAATCCCAGGAGAACCGACCCCTTCTACAGATAATCCCAGGAGAACCGACCCTTCTGCAGATAATCCCAGGAGAACCGACCCCTTCTACAGATAATCCCAGGAGAACCGACGCCTTCTACAGATAATCCCAGGAGAACCGACGCCTTCTGCAGATAATCCCAGGAGAACCGACCCTTCTGCAGATAATCCCATATAATCCCAGGAGAACCGACCCTTCTGCAGATAATCCCATATAATCCCAGGAGAACCGACCCTTCTGCAGATAATCCCATATAATCCCAGGAGAACCGACCCTTCTGCAGATAATCCCATATAATCCCAGGAGAACCGACCCTTCTGCAGATAATCCCAGATAATCCCAGGAGAACCGACCCTTCTGCAGATAATCCCATATAATCCCAGGAGAACCGACCCTTCTGCAGATAATCCCAGATAATCCCAGGAGAACCGACCCTTCTGCAGATAATCCCAGGAGAACCGACCCCTTCTACAGATAATCCCAGGAGAACCGACCCCTTCTGCAGATAATCCCAGGAGAACCGACCCGTTCTGCAGATAATCCCATATAATCCCAGGAGAACCGACCCGTTCTACAGATAATCCCAGGAGAACCGACCCGTTCTACAGATAATCCCAGCCCCTCCCCCTATAAACACTCTCCACTCAACAAAAGAGAAATCAGAGCATCGCTGCCTTTATTCTGAAAGGACTACAGTCACAGCTGGACTTTCCGTGATGATGAGCAGACCAGTGGGCGGGGCCTGCTCAGAGGGGCGTGGCTCTCCACTCTTTGCCTTCAGTCAGAGCTCTGGGCTGGTGGACAAACACGCTGTAGCGGACGCCCTGATTGGCCGCTGCCCTGACGAAGCGGCTGTTGGCCGTCATGGTGACAGCTCTCAGGGAGTCGCCGGTGCCGAAGATCATGAGGGAGCGGCGGTTGATCTTGGCGCTGGGCGTGAGGCGCTGCGTGCGCTCTGACGGCTGGTCGTCCACCAGGGAGAGGCGGGCCAGCAGCTTCTGAGCCCGCTCCTTCTCCCCCGGCCCCCCCAGGGTGTCCAGGATCACCTGGAAGTCACGCACGGCGGCGCGGCAGGCAAACAGCTGCTTGCCCTCCATGAAGGCGTCCAGTTGGGGCAGCACTTGCTGCCGGCGCTCCTGAGCCGCCTGCTCCGTCAGAACCGGCTCCCTGAAGCTGAAGTGGCAGCGGCCGTGACTCAGCGATGACACGTAGGTGATGAGCGTGGTGATGTCCAGGTTCACCCGCTGGGACTCCTCCACCTGCAGCTGGACGGGGAACGCCAGGCGGGCCACCACCGTGCTGCGGTCCACGCGGGTCACAGCCCACGCCTCCGCCCCGTCCTCAAACCCGGCCCCGTCACCAGGCTCCTCCCCGTCCTCATGCTCCACCCCATCCTCAGGCTCCTCCCCGTCCTCAGGCTCCACCCCGTCCTCAGGCTCCTCCCCGTCCTCAGGCTCCTCCCCGTCCTCGTCGTCTCCCTCCTCCTCCTCCACGCTGCTGACGGCCACGATGTCTCCGCGGACGGACACGCCCATGTCCCTCAGGCGGTCGGCCACGGGGCAGGACACGCCGTTGTAGAAGGCAAAGACGACGCGGGGGTGGCGGTAGTTGACGGGCTGCTGGCGGCTGGCCTGCAGGAACTCTTCGGCCTGCCGGACGATGCTTTTGTCTCCGTATTGGCCCCGCCCCTGCCAGATGTTGTGTAGAGCCTCTGCCTTGCGGCCCACCGCCTTCACCCAGGTGAGGCCGTCGTTAGCCACCACGTCCACCACCAGCGTGCGGCGGCGTCCGGCTGCGTCCTGGTACTTGAAGACGTGCAGCAGCGCTGCCACGTTCTCCAGGTTCTGAACAGAGTCCACGATGGCAGTCAGGTGCGTCAGGTTGGTGCTGTGCAGGTGAGACTCTTTGACCTGCAGCTCTCCGGCCTCCACGCGCCGCAGGAAGCGCAGCTCGGCACGCAGTTTGCCGCAAAGCTTCTGATGACCTTCGACCCCCGGACAGAGCTGCTCCGCCCGCTGGAGGAGCGTCTGGGCCGAGTCGATCCTCTCGCGCAGAGTGGCCTGCAGCGACATGGCTGCTGCATCACACCTGAGGACAGAGGGGCGGGTCAGTGACTGACGGACATGTGACCAACGACCAGGGCTTCAGGTTATCCTGCTGCATTGTGGCCCCGCCTCCTGCACTGTGATTGGTCTGTTTTAGGACAGGAGAGTGGCGGCCCACTGATGCAGCAGCAGAACTATAGAGATAGAATGAAGCAGAATGATGAACAAGGGGTCCCTATGTCCTCCAGCAGTCTAAGCCTATAGCAGCAGAACTATAGAGATAGAATGAAGCAGAATGATGAAAAAGGGGTCCCTATGTCCTCCAGCAGTCTAAGCCTATAGCAGCAGAACTATAGAGATAGATCAGGATAACCTGAGCCACTCTAACTAGAAGCTTTATCAAAAAGGAAAGTTTTAAGCCTAGCCTTAAAAGTAGACAGGGTGTTTGCCTCACGGACTAAAACTGGTAGTTGGTTCCACAGGAGAGGAGCCTGAGAACTAAAAGATCTGCCTCCCATTCTACTTTTAGAAATTCTAGGAACCACTAGTAAACCTGCAGATTGAGAGCGAAGTGCTCTGTTAGGAACATAAGGAACAATCAGATCTCTGATATCAGATGGAGCTTGGCCATTTAAGGCTTTATATGTGAGAAGGAGGATTTTAAATTCTATTCTGGATTTAACAGGAAGCCAATGAAGAGAAGCCAGGATAGGCGAGATATGATCTCTCTTTTTAATTTTCATTAGAACTCTGGCTGCAGCATTTTGGATCAGCTGAAGGCTTTTAACTACAGTTTGTGGACTTCCTGATAGTAAAGAATTACAATAGTCCAGCCTTGAAGTAACAAATGCATGGACTAGTTTCTCAGCATCACCCCTGGACAGGAGATTGCTCATTTTTGCAATGTTCCTCAGATGAAAGAAGGAAATTCTAGAAACCTCTTTGATCTGGGATTTAAATGACAGGTCCTGATCAAAAATAACACCAAGATTTTTTACTTTATTATCTGAAATCAGTTTAATCCCATCCAAATGAAGTGACTGGCTAATCAGCTTCTATTTCAGATGTTCTATGTTCTCAGAGGAAAGAACCGCCTCTAACTCCTGTTAAAACTAGCTAAGAACCAGAACAGAACCTGGACCTTCTGTTCTGCAGAACCACATTTCTGGGTTTAAACTTTTTTGGTCTGATGAGAGGTTCTGATCCGGCAACTGGACCCCAGAACTCTGCCTGAACCAGATCCCACTGTCCAGCTAGCTGCTCACATTAGCTCACCTCGGTCCAGATCCACCTGGGTTCGGTTCTGACTGGGTTCACCTGGACTCTGACCCCTGGGTTCGGTTCTGACCAGGTTCTGGGTTCGGTTCTGACCAGGTTCTGGGTTCGGTTCTGACCAGGTTCTGGGTTTGGTTCTGACCAGGTTCTGGGTTCGGTTCTGACCAGGTTCTGGGTTTGGTTCTGACCAGGTTCTGGGTTCGGTTCTGACCAGGTTCTAGGTTAGGTTCTGACCAGGTTCTGGGTTCGGTTCTGACCAGGTTCTGGGTTAGGTTCTGGGTTCGGTTCTGACCAGGTTCTGGGTTTGGTTCTGACCAGGTTCTGGGTTTGGTTCTTACCAGGTTCTGGGTTCGGTTCCTTCCACAGCTCTCACACTCACCTAGTTCTGGTTCTAATCAGATAAATGGATCCAATCCGGTTCCGATTCTGGTTCGAAGTTCAACACCGAAGTAACGCTGCTGACGTCAGGATCAACCGGAACCGCCAGAAGCTAATGCTAACCTTAATGACACAGCGGCGCTCAGCTGGCAGGAAGCCTGACGTCACTACCGGATGGACCTTCAAATTAAGAGAAGAGAAATGAGGATTTCAAATTAAATACCACTGCACACACACACACACACACACACACAAATCGACATACAAATACACAACTCTCCACACACATTTGCAAATCAAACTCACAATGCCCAAATAGTTTTGATACAAATAACCTTCATACAAAACAACAACTTTATTTTTTACAAGGAAGAAATACTCTGAAAATGTAAAACTGCAAATATATAATGAGGAATCAGAAAGATGAAAGGAAGTTAGGTTTATAGGGTCATGTTCAGAAAGTACAGGATAAAGGAGCTTTAAAGGTTTTTTGGTGGAGAGAAAATCGTTTTATTCTAGTTTATTAAGGTCTAGGTAGTTAACATTGGATTACTAGTTCTTTACTGTCACAGGTGGGAGCTTCAGGGTTAGGGCCGCTGTGATTTAAGGAGGACCGGCCCTGTGGGTCCGCTATCCCAGTCCCAGCCTGGTCCTTCACTCTGCGTCCCCAGAGTGCAGGGTGCATGGAGCTGCCATCCTCCTCACCGGCTGGTGGCGGTACTGAGTCGCCTTATTGTTTAACAACCGCCACAGACGAAGAAGAAGAACAAGCAGCAGCAGAAGAAGAAGAAGAGGAAGGCGGACGTGTCGGTGTGTCGCTCCAGGCTCGGTCCTGTTTCCGGAGCTGCTTACCATCCGAACCTGCAGCTGGGTTTGGTTCCGGTCGGAGATGCGGGTCTGTGCGGGTCTGAGCGGGTCTCTGGGCCTGGTCCTGGTCCTGGTTCTGGTTCCCGGTCAGTGGGCCTGGGAGGCGGACCTGGAGCTCCTGGACCTGGTGGAGGAGATCCCGCAGAACTTCTACCAGTTCCTCAGCCTGGAGCAGGTCAGTCCGTTTCCCTGGCAACCAGAGCTTCCGGTCCTGGTCCTGGTCCTGGTCCTGGTCCTGGTTCTGGTCCAGCTGCAGGATGGGGCCGAACCTAAAACCGAACCCAGTGAGGAACCCGGACAATCCGAACCGGATCAATCAGTGACCAATACCTGACGTCATCAGTGGAGGTGATGACGCAGAAAGAGGCAGCTTGTTCTCATCGCTGGTTCCGGTCCGGTCCACTTAAGTCCAGGTGTTCTGGTCCATAGGTCTGCTGCTGTTACTATGGTGATGGTGATGATGAAAGCTCAGAAAGAAACCAGAACTGAGGGTCTGGCCTCTGGCCCCAAAGGCTCTGGATCCAAAGGTTCTAGACCGAAAGGTTCTGGATCCAAAGGTTCTAGACCGAAAGGTTCTGGATCCAAAGCTTCTAGACCGAAAGGTTCTGGATCCAAAGGTTCTAGACCGAAAGGTTCTGGATCCAAAGCTTCTAGACCGAAAGGTTCTGGATCCAAAGGTTCTAGACCGAAAGGTTCTGGATCCAAAGCTTCTAGACCGAAAGGTTCTGGATCTAAAGGTTCTAGACCGAAAGGTTCTGGATCCAAAGGTTCTGGATCCAAAGCTTCTAGACCGAAAGGTTCTGGATCCAAAGGTTCTAGACCCAAAGGCTCTGGATCCAAAGGTTATGATGAAAGCTCAGAGAGAAACCAGAACTGAGGGTCTGGCCTCAAAGGCTCTGGCCCCAAATGTTCTGGTCCCAAAGGCTCTAGACCCAAAGGTTCTAGACCGAAAGGTTCTGGATCCAAAGGTTATGATGAAAGCTCAGAGAGAAACCAGAACTGAGGGTCTGGCCTCAAAGGCTCTGGCCCCAAATGTTCTGGTCCCAAAGGCTCTAGACCCAAAGGTTCTAGACCGAAAGGTTCTGGATCCAAAGGTTCTGGCCCCAAAGGCTCTAGACCCAAAGGTTCTAGACCGAAAGGTTCTGGATCCAAAGGTTCTAGACCCAAAGGCTCTGGATCCAAAGGTTCTAGACCCAAAGGTTCTAGACCGAAAGGCTCTGGATCCAAAGGTTCTAGACCCAAAGGTTCTGGACCCAAATGTTCTAGTTACTGTTGGTTCCTCCTGGGTTCCTGCTGGGTTTTCATGGTTCTTCCGTTTTCCTGCTGGTTCCTCATTGGTTCCTCCTGGTTCCTGCTGGTTCCTCATTGGTTCCTGCTAGTTCCTCCTGGTTCCTGCTGGTTCCTCATTGGTTCCTGCTAGTTCCTCCTGGTTCCTGCTAGTTCCTGCTGGTTCCTCCTGGTTCCTGCTTGGTTCTCATTGTTCCTGCTTGGTTCCTCCTGCTTCCTGCTGGTTCCCCTGGTTTCCTGCTGGTTCCTCCTGGTTCCTGTTGGTTCCTGTTTGGTTCTCATTGTTCCTGTTAGTTCCTCCTGGGTTCCTGTTGGGTTTTCATAGTTCCTCCTGGTTCCTGCTTGGTTCCCATTGTTCCTGTTGGTTCCTCCTGGGTTCCTGCTGGTTCCTCCTGGGTTCCTGTTGGGTTTTCATGGTTCCTCCTGCTTCCTGCTTGGTTCCTATTGTTCCTGCTGGTTCCTGCTAGTTCCTCCTGGGTTTCTGCTTGTTCCTCCTGGTTCCTGCTGGGTTTTCATAGTTCCTCCTGGTTCCTGCTTGGTTCCCATTGTTCCTGTTGGTTCCTCCTGGGTTCCTGCTGGTTCCTCCTGGGTTCCTGTTGGGTTTTCATGGTTCCTCCTGCTTCCTGCTTGGTTCCCATTGTTCCTGCTGGTTCCTGCTAGTTCCTCCTGGGTTTCTGCTTGTTCCTCCTGGTTCCTGCTGGGTTTTCATAGTTCCTCCTGGTTCCTGCTTGGTTCCCATTGTTCCTGTTGGTTCCTCCTGGGTTCCTGCTGGTTCCTCCTGGGTTCCTGTTGGGTTTTCATGGTTCCTCCTGCTTCCTGCTTGGTTCCCATTGTTCCTGCTGGTTCCTGCTAGTTCCTCCTGGGTTTCTGCTTGTTCCTCCTGGTTCCTGCTGGGTTTTCATGGTTCCTCCTGGGTTCCCATTGTTCCTGTTGGTTCCTCCTGGGTTCCTGCTGGTTCTTCCTGGTTCCAGCTAGGTTTTCATTGTTCCTGCTAGTTCCTCCTGGGTTTCTGCTTGTTCCTCCTGGTTCCTGCTGGGTTTTCGTTGTTCCTGCTTGTTCCTCCTGGTTCCTGCTGGGTTTTCGTTGTTCCTGCTGGTTCCTCCTGGGTTCCTGCTGGTTCTTCCTGGTTCCAGCTGGGTTTTCGTTGTTCCTGCTGGTTCCTGTTGGTTCCTCCTGGATTCCTACTTGGTTCCTGCTGGTTCCTCCTGGGTTCTGCTGGTTCCTCCTGGGTTCTGCTGGTTCCTGCTGGGTTTTGTTAGGTTCCTGCTGGTTCCTGTTGGATCCCTGTCTCCCTCCAGATCTCCAGCTGTAGAACCGTTCCCACTCTGGTTCCTTCTAGCATGCAGTGTTTTAAGGTTCCTCTGTGAACTAACAGTTTAACGCTGTAGATGAGGGAGAACACCTTCTCAGCTTGTTCTGACCTGCCTGCATAGATCCAGCAGACCTAGAATGGGAGCACATGTTCTGCTCCTCTTGGTTCTGTGGATGGGACCAGGCTGCAGGTTCTGATGTTTGGTCCAGATCTAACGGAGCCCTAACAGGGGAACCTCAGCAGATGGAGACGTTCTCCTCCTCACCTGTCCCTCTCCTGTGTCCCCCAGGACGCGGCGGCGGCAGACATTAAGAAGGCGTACCGGCGGCTGTCTCTGACGCTGCATCCTGACAAGAACAAGGACCCCAACGCTGAGACCCAGTTCAGACAGGTGAGCCACCCGCCCAGAACCAGAACCCGCCGGCTGACCCTGAAGCTAATCCTTGTCTTGGTTTCAGCTGGTGGCCATCTATGAGGTTCTGAAAGACGAGGAGCGGCGGCGCAGGTAGGACCCATGGATGGGGGGTGGGGGCGTCCCTCTGCTGAATCAGCAGGTATTTTTTAACCACAGGTACGACGACATCCTGCTGAACGGCCTGCCGGACTGGAGGCAGCCCGTCTTCTACTACCGCCGCGTGAGGAAGATGAGCAACGCTGAGCTGGGCTTCCTGCTCTTCCTCATCCTCACCGTGGGACACTACGCCATCATCTGGTCCATCTACCTGGAGAAACAGCTGGTGAGGCAGCGATCGGAGCGGCGAGGAAGCCCATCTGCTCGCTGTGTGTCATGTGACCTGAGCTCTCTTTCCAGGATGAGCTGCTGGGGCGCAAGAAAAAGGAGAAGAAGAAGAAGATGAGCTCCAGACCCGCCGAGGAGCTCAGAGGTATCGGACTGGACCGCGTTGAAAGGTACGGCTGTGACATCATCACCACCGCCCCGCCCGTGTTCCGCTTGGATTCATGTCGACTCCTGTTGTCATAGGAACCAGGAGCGACCGCACTGGCAGGACATCCTTCCTCTGAAACTCAGCATCTGGATCTACCTGTCGGTGAAGAACCTTCCCCAAACCGTCCAGGTAGGCCCGGACCCAGGTCCTAGTCTTTAACAGGTTCCCTAGGTCCTGGACCAGACCAGGTCCTAGTCTTTAACAGGTTCCCCAGGTCCTGGACCAGACCCAGGTCCTAGTCTTTAACAGGTTCCCTAGGTCCTGGACCAGACCCAGGTCCTAGTCTTTAACAGGTTGCCTAGGTCCTGGACCAGACCAGGTCCTAGTCTTTAACAGGTTCCCTAGGTCCTGGACCAGACCCAGGTCCTAGTCTTTAACAGGTTCCCTAGGTCCTGGACCAGACCCAGGTCCTAGTCTTTAACAGGTTCCCTAGGTCCTGGACCAGACCCAGGTCCTAGTCTTTAACAGGTTCCCTAGGGCCTGGACCAGACCCAGGTCCTAGTCTTTAACAGGTTCCCTAGGTCCTGGACCAGACCCAGGTCCTAGTCTTTAACAGGTTCCCTAGGTCCTGGACCAGACCCCAGTCCTAGTCTTTAACAGGTTCCCTAGGTCCTGGACCAGACCAGGTCTTAGTCTTTAACAGGTTGCCTAGGTCCTGGACCAGACCCAGGTCCTAGTCTTTAACAGGTTCCCTAGGTCCTGGACCAGACCCAGGTCCTAGTCTTTAACAGGTTCCCTAGATCCTGGACCAGACCCAGGTCCTAGTCTTTAACAGGTTCCCTAGGTCCTGGACCAGACCCAGGTCCTAGTGTTTAACAGGTTCCCTAGATCCTGGACCAGACCCAGGTCCTAGTCTTTAACAGGTTCCCTAGGTCCTGGACCAGACCCCAGTCCTAGTCTTTAACAGGTTCCCTAGGTCCTGGACCAGACCCAGGTTCCTAGTCTTTAACAGGTTCCCTAGGTCCTGGACCAGACCCAGGTCCTAGTCTTTAACAGGTTCCCTAGGTCCTGGACCAGACCCAGGTCCTAGTCTTTAACAGGTTCCCTAGGTCCTGGACCAGACCCAGGTCCTAGTCTGTAACAGGTTCCCTAGGTCCTGGACCAGACCCAGGTCCTAGTCTTTAACAGGTTCCCTAGGTCCTGGACCAGACCAGGTTCCTAGTCTTTAACAGGTTCCCTAGGTCCTGGACCAGACCCAGGTCCTAGTCTTTAACAGGTTCCCTAGGTCCTGGACCAGACCCAGGTCCTAGTCTTTAACAGGTTGCCTAGGTCCTGGACCAGACCCAGGTCCTAGTCTTTAACAGGTTCCCTAGATCCTGGACCAGACCCAGGTCCTAGTCTTTAACAGGTTCCCTAGGTCCTGGACCAGACCCCAGTCCTAGTCTTTAACAGGTTCCCTAGGTCCTGGACCAGACCCAGGTTCCTAGTCTTTAACAGGTTCCCTAGGTCCTGGACCAGACCCAGGTCCTAGTCTTTAACAGGTTCCCTAGGTCCTGGACCAGACCCAGGTCCTAGTCTTTAACAGGTTCCCTAGGTCCTGGACCAGACCCAGGTCCTAGTCTGTAACAGGTTCCCTAGGTCCTGGACCAGACCCAGGTCCTAGTCTTTAACAGGTTCCCTAGGTCCTGGACCAGACCCAGGTCCTAGTCTTTAACAGGTTCCCTAGGTCCTGGACCAGACCAGGTTCCTAGTCTTTAACAGGTTCCCTAGGTCCTGGACCAGACCAGGTTCCTAGTCTTTAACAGGTTCCCTAGGTCCTGGACCAGACCCAGGTCCTAGTCTTTAACAGGTTCCCTAGGTCCTGGACCAGACCCAGGTACTAGTCTTTAACAGGTTCCCTAGGTCCTGGACCAGACCCAGGTCCTAGTCTTTAACAGGTTCCCTAGGTCCTGGACCAGACCAGGTTCCTAGTCTTTAACAGGTTCCCTAGGTCCTGGACCAGACCAGGTTCCTAGTCTTTAACAGGTTCCCTAGGTCCTGGACCAGACCAGGTTCCTAGTCTTTAACAGGTTCCCTAGGTCCTGGACCAGACCAGGTTCCTAGTCTTTAACAGGTTCCCTAGGTCCTGGACCAGACCCAGGTTCCTAGTCTCTGGAAGGTCCCATAGGTCCTGGACCAGACCCAGGTCCTAGTCTTTAACAGGTTCCCTAGGTCCTGGACCAGACCCAGGTCCTAGTCTTTAACAGGTTCCCTAGGTCCTGGACCAGACCAAGGTCCTAGTCTTTAACAGGTTCCCTAGGTCCTAGACCAGACCAGGTTTCTAGTTTTTAACAGGTTCCCTAGGTCCTGGACCAGACCCGGTTCCTAGTCTTTAACAGGTTCCCTAGGTCCTGGACCAGACCAGGTTCCTAGTCTTTAACAGGTTCCCTAGGTCCTGGACCAGACCAGGTTCCTAGTCTTTAACAGGTTCCCTAGGTCCTGGACCAGACCAGGTTCCTAGTCTTTAACAGGTTCCCTAGGTCCTGGACCAGACCAGGTTCCCTAGGTCCTGGACCAGACCAGGTTCCTAGTCTTTAACAGGTTCCCTAGGTCCTGGACCAGACCAGGTTCCTCGTCTTTAACAGGTTCCCTAGGTCCTGGACCAGACCAGGTTCCAAGTCTTTAACAGGTTCCCTAGGTCCTGGACCAGACCCAGGTCCTAGTCTTTAACAGGTTCCCTAGGTCCTGGTCCAGACCAGGTTCCTAGTCTGTAACAGGTTCCCTAGGTCCTGGACCAGATCCAGGTTCCTAGTCTCTGGAAGGTCCCATAGGTCCTGGACCAGGCCCAGGTACTAGTCTCTCCAAGGTCCCATAGGTCCTGGACCATATCCAGGTTCCTAGTCTCTGGAAGGTCCCATAGGTCCTAGACCAGACCCAGGTCCTAGTCTTTAACAGGTTTTCTAGGTCTTGGACCAGACCCAGGCACTAGTCTCTAGCAGGTCCCATAGGTCCTGAACCAGACCCAGGTACTAGTCTCTAGCAGGTCCCATAGGTCCTGGACCAGACCCAGGTACTAGTCTCTAGCAGGTCCCATAGGGCCTGGACCAGACCCAGGCACTAGTCTCTAGCAGGTCCCATAGGTCATGGACCAGATCCAGGTACTAGTCTCTAGTAGGTCCCATAGGTCCTGGACCAGACCCAGATACAAGTCTCAAGCAGGTCCCATAGGTCCTAGACCAGACCCATGTACTAATCTCTTGCAGATCCCATAGGTCCTGGTCCAGATCCAGTTCCTAGTCTTTAGCAGGTTCCACAGGTACTGGACCAGACCCAGGTCCTAGTCTTTAACAGGGTCCGTAGGTCCTGGACCAGAACAAGGTCCTAATCTCTAGCAGGTCCCGTAGGTCCTGGACCAGACCCAAATCCTAGTCTTTAGCAGGTTCCATAGGTCCTGGACCAGACGCAGGTCCTAGTCTTTAACAGGGTCCGTAGGTCCTGGACCAGACCAAGGTCCTGATCTCAAGCAGGTCCAATAGGTCCTGGACCGGACCAATGTGCCAGTCTCTAGCAGGTTCCATAGGTCCTGGACCAGACCCAGGTCCTAATCTCAAGCAGGTCCCACACATGTAGGTCCTGGACCACACCAATGTGCCAGTCTTTAGCAGGTCCCATAGGTCCTGGACCACACCAATGTACTAGTCTCTAGCAGGTCCCATAGGTCCTGCACCAGACTCATGTCCTAATCTCTAGCAGGTTCCATAGGTCCTGGACCAGATCCAGGTCCTAGTTTCTAGCAGGTTGTAGTCAATAGCAGGTCCCATGGGTCCTGCATCACACCTAGACCCTTCTTCTAGGTACCTATCTAGGTATCTCCTTGGGTGGATTTTCGTTTCGTGGATCTATGCTCCTGGTCCTGGTCTCTGTTCTGGACCTTGGTCTTAGTTCTCCATGGGTTCCAGCTGTAGTCCTGGTCTCTGTTCTTGACCTTGGTCTCAGCTGTAGTCCTGGTCTCTGTTCTGGACCTTGGTCTTAGCAGTAGTCCTGGTCTCTGTTCTGGACCTTGGTCTTAGCTGTAGTACTGGTCTCTGTTCTGGACCTTGGTCTCAGCTGTAGTCCTGGTCTCTGTTCTGGACCTTGGTCTTAGTTCTCCATGGGTCTCAGCTGTAGTCCTGGTCTCTGTTCTGGACCTTGGTCTCAGCTGTAGTCCTGGTCTCTATTCTGGACCTTGGTCTCAGCTGTAGTCCTGGTCTCTAGTCTGGACCTTGGTCTCAGCTGTAGTCCTGGTCTCTAGTCTGGATCTTGGTCTCAGTTGTAGTCCTGGTCTCTAGTCTGGATCTTGGTCTCAGTTGTAGTCCTGGTCTCTAGTCTGGATCTTGGTCTCAGTTGTAGTCCTGGTCTCTAGTCTGGATCTTGGTCTCAGTTGTAGTCCTGGTCTCTAGTCTGGATCTTGGTCTCACTGTAGTCTTGGTCTCTGTTCTGGACCTTGGTCTTAGTTCTCCATGGGTTCCAGCTGTAGTCCTGGTCTCTAGTCTGGATCTTGGTCTCAGCTGTAGTCCTGGTCTCTACTCTGGATCTTGGTCTCAGCTGTAGTCCTGGTCTCTACTCTGGATCTTGGTCTCTGTTCTGGACCTTGGTCTTAGTTCTCCATGGGCTCCAGCTGTAGTCCTGGTCTCTAGTCTGGATCTTGGTCTCACTGTAGTCTTGGTCTCTGTTCTGGACCTTGGTCTTAGTTCTCCATGGGTTCCAGCTGTAGTCCTGGTCTCTAGTCTGGATCTAGGTTTCAGCTGTAGTCTTGGTCTCTGTTCTGGACCTTGGTCTTAGTTCTCCATGGGTTCCAGCTGTAGTCCTGGTCTCTAGTCTGGATCTAGGTCTCAGCTGTAGTCTTGGTCTCTGTTCTGGACCTTGGTCTTAGTTCTCCATGGGTTCCAGCTGTAGTCCTGGTCTCTAGTCTGGATCTAGATCTCAGCTGTAGTCTTGGTCTCTGTTCTGGACCTTGGTCTTAGTTCTCCATGGGTTCCAGCTGTAGTCCTGGTCTCTAGTCTGGATCTTGGTCTCAGCTGTAGTCTTGGTCTATGTTCTGGACCTTGGTCTTAGTTCTCCATGGGTTCCAGCTGTAGTCCTGGTCTCTAGTCTGGATCTTGGTCTCAGCTGTAGTCCTGGTCTCTACTCTGGATCTTGGTTTCTGTTCTGGACCTTGGTCTTAGTTCTCCATGGGCTCCAGCTGTAGTCCTGGTCTGTAGTCTGGATCTAGGTCTCAGCTGTAGTCTTGGTCTCTGTTCTGGACCTTGGTCTTAGTTCTCCATGGGTTCCAGCTGTAGTCCTGGTCTCTAGTCTGGATCTTGGTCTCAGCTGTAGTCCTGGTCTCTACTCTGGATCTTGGTTTCTGTTCTGGACCTTGGTCTTAGTTCTCCATGGGCTCCAGCTGTAGTCCTGGTCTGTAGTCTGGATCTAGGTCTCAGCTGTAGTCTTGGTCTCTGTTCTGGACCTCGGTCTTAGTTCTCCATGGGCTCCAGCTGTAGTCCTGGTCTCTAGTCTGGATCTTGGTCTCCTGGGTTCCTCTAGTCCTGGTCTCTGTGTATTCGCTGGTTTCCACCAAGGTTCTGGTTCTTGCCTCTTCTCAGTCCAGGTCTCTGTCTTCCAGGAGGTGAAGCAGTACTATGAGGACTATCAGCAAATGAAGACGGAACAGGAGGCTGAAGCTGAACAGGAAGTTGCTCCAAGTAAACCCCATCTTCTCCTTCCAGGCTTCTGTTCTTTGGAACCTAACCTAGAACCGATGAAGAACTCATGGTTCCTTCTGATCTCTCCTCCTGCTTCTGCCTTCACAGGAGAGAAACGACCAAAAGTCAAGAAGCCCAAAGTGGAATTTCCAGTTTATGTACCTTCAGAGAACCAGAACCACCAGAACTATGACCAGACCACATCCATTGAGGACATTGAAGACCAAATGGACGACTGGCTGCAGGACCTGAAAGGTCCCAAGAAGAAGGTGGGAAACCTAGGGCTCTCTTAGACAACCTGTCCTTATTCTGTTTCTTCTGACCTCTGGCTGTCCCTCTGTCTTAGGTGTCAGAATGGACAGAAGACGACTTCAGCCTCCTTAGCAGGTTGATGGTCAAATTCCCTGGAGGAACTCCAGGCCGATGGGAGAAGATCGCTCAGGAGCTTGGACGATCCGTGTCTGCTGTGAGTTTGACAGCATCAGGAGGTTCCCCTAGGTCCGGTTCCACAGCCAGCCATGTATGTCATCTGCTGGTCCTGGTCCAGTCCCAGGCCAGAACCTTTGGGTCCAGAGGTCCGGTTACATAGACAGATTCCCTGAAGTTGTTCTGGATTATGTCCTGGATCTAGAACCGCTTAGATTGGACTCATGGTGCTGATGTTGTTGATGAATCTTCTGAATCTTTTTTTCCCTTTCCAGGTGACGGCTAAAGTCAAAGAGTTGAAGGACAACGTGAACCCAACCTCAGGTACATAGAAGATGTTCTCGTCTTCATGTAGATGTTCTGTGGATCAGGTAGATGTTCTGGTCTTCAGGTAGATGTTCTGTGGATCAGGTAGATGTTCTGTGGGTCAGTAGATGTTCTGTGGGTCAGTAGATGTTCAGCTCTTCAGGTAGATGTTCCAGTCTTCACGTAGATGTTCCAGTCTTCACGTAGATGTTCTGGTCTTCAGGTAGATGTTCCAGTCTTCACGTAGATGTTCTGGTCCTCAGGTAGATGTTCCGGTCCTCAGGTAGATGTTCCGGTCTTCAGGTAGATGTTCTGGTCCTCAGGGAGATGTTCCGGTCCTCAGGTAGATGTTCCGGTCTTCAGGTAGATGTTCCGGTCCTCAGGTAGATGTTCCGGTCCTCAGGTAGATGTTCCGGTCTTCAGGTAGATGTTCCGGTCCTCAGGTAGATGTTCCGGTCTTCAGGTAGATGTTCTGGTCTTCAGGTGGATGTTCCGGTCTTCAGGTAGATGTTCCGGTCCTCAGGTAGATGTTCTGGTCTTCAGGTAGATGTTCTGGTCCTCAGGTAGATGTTCCGGTCTTCAGGTAGATGTTCCGGTCCTCAGGTAGATGTTCTGGTCCTCAGGTAGATGTTCCGGTCTTCAGGTAGATGTTGTGGTCATCAGGTAGATGTTCTGGTCCTCAGGTAGATGTTCCGGTCTTCAGGTAGATGTTGTGGTCATCAGGTAGATGTTCCGGTCCTCAGGTAGATGTTCCGGTCCTGAGGTAGATGTTCCGGTCCTCAGGTAGATGTTCCGGTCCTCAGGTAGATGTTCCGGTCTTCAGGTAGATGTTCCGGTCTTCAGGTAGATGTTCTGGTCCTCAGGTAGATTTTCTGGTCCTCAGGCAGATGTTCTGGTCCTCAGGTAGATGTTCTGGTCCTCAGGTAGATGTTCTGGTCCTCAGGTAGATGTTCTGGTCCTCAGGTAGATGTTCCGGTCTTCAGGTAGATGTTCTGGTCCTCAGGTAGATGTTCCGGTCTTCAGGTAGATGTTCTGGTCTTCAGGTAGATGTTCTGGTCCTCAGGTAGATGTTCTGGTCTTCAGGTAGATGTTCTGGTCTTCAGGTAGATGTTCTGGTCTTCAGGTAGATGTTCTGGTCATCAGGTAGATGTTCTGGTCATCAGGTAGATGTTGTGGTCATCAGGTAGATGTTCTGGTCCTCAGGTAGATGTTCTGGTCCTCAGGTAGATGTTCCGGTCTTCAGGTAGATGTTCCGGTCATCAGGTAGATGTTCTGGTCCTCAGGTAGATGTTCTGGTCCTCAGGTAGATGTTCCGGTCTTCAGGTAGATGTTCTGGTCATCAGGTAGATGTTCCGGTCCTCAGGTAGATGTTCCGGTCTTCAGGTAGATGTTCCGGTCCTCAGGTAGATGTTCCGGTCCTCAGGTAGATGTTCCGGTCTTCAGGTAGATGTTCCGGTCTTCAGGTAGATGTTCTGGTCTTCAGGTAGATGTTCTGGTCTTAAGGTAGATGTTCCGGTCTTCAGGTAGATGTTCCGGTCTTCAGGTAGATGTTCTGGTCCTCAGGTAGATGTTCCGGTCTTCAGGTAGATGTTCTGGTCCTCAGGTAGATGTTCCGGTCTTTAGGTAGATGTTCCGGTCTTCAGGTAGATGTTCCGGTCCTCAGGTAGACGTTCTGGTCTTCAGGTAGATGTTCCGGTCCTCAGGTAGATGTTCTGGTCATCATGTAGATGTTCTGGTCCTCAGGTAGATGTTCTGGTCCTCAGGCAGATGTTCTGGTCATCATGTAGATGTTCTGGTCCTCAGGTAGATGTCCTGGTCCTCAGGTAGATGTTCTGGTCTTCAGGTAGATGTTCTGGTCCTCAGGCAGATGTTCTGGTCATCATGTAGATGTTCTGGTCCTCAGGTAGATGTTCTGGTCCTCAGGTAGATGTTCCGGTCTTCAGGTAGATGTTCCGGTCTTCAGGTAGATGTTCCGGTCTTCAGGTAGATGTTCTGGTCTTCAGGTAGATGTTCTGGTCCTCAGGTAGATGTTCTGGTCCTCAGGTAGATGTTCCGGTCTTCAGGTAGATGTTCCGGTCTTCAGGTAGATGTTCCGGTCTTCAGGTAGATGTTCTGGTCCTCAGGTAGATGTTCCGGTCTTCAGGTAGATGTTCCGGTCATCAGGTAGATGTTCTGGTCCTCAGGTAGATGTTCCGGTCCTCAGGTAGATGTTCTGGTCCTCAGGTAGATGTTCTGGTCTTCAGGTAGATGTTCTGGTCCTCAGGTAGATGTTCCGGTCCTCAGGTAGATGTTCCGGTCTTCAGGTAGATGTTCTGGTCCTCAGGTAGATGTTGTGGTCATCAGGTAGATGTTGTGGTCATCAGGTAGATGTTCCGGTCTTCAGGTAGATGTTCCGGTCTTCAGGTAGATGTTCCGGTCTTCAGGTAGATGTTCCGGTCTTCAGGTAGATGTTCCGGTCTTCAGGTAGATGTTCCGGTCTTCAGGTAGATGTTCCGGTCTTCAGGTAGATGTTCTGGTCCTCAGGTAGATGTTCCGGTCTTCAGGTAGAAGTTCTGGTCCTCAGGTAGATGTTCCGGTCTTCAGGTAGATGTTGTGGTCATCAGGTAGATGTTCCGGTCCTCAGGTAGATGTTCCGGTCCTCAGGTAGATGTTCCGGTCTTCAGGTAGATGTTCCGGTCTTCAGGTAGATGTTCTGGTCCTCAGGTAGATGTTCCGGTCTTCAGGTAGATGTTCCGGTCATCAGGTAGATGTTCTGGTCCTCAGGTAGATGTTCTGGTCCTCAGGTAGATGTTCCGGTCTTCAGGTAGATGTTGTGGTCATCAGGTAGATGTTCCGGTCCTCAGGTAGATGTTCCGGTCTTCAGGTAGATGTTGTGGTCATCAGGTAGATGTTCCGGTCTTCAGGTAGATGTTCTGGTCATCATGTAGATGTTCTGGTCTTCAGGGAGATGTTCCGGTCTTCAGGTAGATGTTCCGGTCTTCAGGTAGATGTTCCGGTCTTCAGGTAGATGTTCCGGTCCTCAGGTAGATGTTCTGGTCCTCAGGTAGATGTTCTGGTCTTCAGGTAGATGTTCTGGTCTTCAGGTAGATGTTCTGGTCCTCAGGTAGACGTTCTGGTCTTCAGGTAGACGTTCTGGTCTTCAGGTAGACGTTCTGGTCCTCAGGTAGACGTTCTGGTCCTCAGGTAGACGTTCTGGTCTTCAGGTAGATGTTCTGGTCCTCAGGTAGATGTTCTGGTCTTCAGGTAGATGTTCTGGTCCTCAGGTAGATGTTCTGGTCTTCAGGTAGACGTTCTGGTCTTCAGGTAGATGTTCTGGTCCTCAGGTAGATGTTCTGGTCTTCAGGTAGATGTTCTGGTCCTCATGTAGACGTTCTGGTCTTCAGGTAGATGTTCTGGTCTTCAGGTAGATGTTCTGGTCCTCAGGTAGACATTCTGGTCTTCAGGTAGATGTTCTGGTCCTCAGGTAGATGTTCCGGTCTTCAGGTAGATGTTCCGGTCTTCAGGTAGATGTTCCGGTCTTCAGGTAGATGTTCCGGTCTTCAGGTAGATGTTCTGGTCTTCAGGTAGATGTTCTGGTCTTCAGGTAGATGTTCTGGTCTTCAGGTAGATGTTCCGGTCTTCAGGTAGACGTTCTGGTCCTCAGGTAGATGTTCTGGTCCTCAGGTAGATGTTCTGGTCTTCAGGTAGATGTTCTGGTCCTCATGTAGACGTTCTGGTCTTCAGGTAGATGTTCTGGTCTTCAGGTAGACGTTCTGGTCCTCAGGTAGATGTTCTGGTCCTCAGGTAGATGTTCTGGTCTTCAGGTAGATGTTCTGGTCCTCATGTAGACGTTCTGGTCTTCAGGTAGATGTTCTGGTCTTCAGGTAGATGTTCTGGTCCTCAGGTAGACATTCTGGTCTTCAGGTAGATGTTCTGGTCCTCAGGTAGATGTTCCGGTCTTCAGGTAGATGTTCCGGTCTTCAGGTAGATGTTCCGGTCTTCAGGTAGATGTTCCGGTCTTCAGGTAGATGTTCTGGTCTTCAGGTAGATGTTCTGGTCTTCAGGTAGATGTTCTGGTCTTCAGGTAGATGTTCCGGTCTTCAGGTAGATGTTCCGGTCTTCAGGTAGATGTTCCGGTCTTCAGGTAGATGTTCTGGTCTTCAGGTAGATGTTCTGGTCATCATGTAGATGTTCTGGTCTTCAGGTAGATGTTCCGGTCTTCAGGTAGATGTTCTGGTCTTCAGGTAGATGTTCCGGTCTTCAGGTAGATGTTCTGGTCATCATGTAGATGTTCCGGTCTTCAGGTAGATGTTCCGGTCTTCAGGTAGATGTTCCGGTCTTCAGGTAGATGTTCTGGTCTTCAGGTAGATGTTCTGGTCCTCAGGTAGATGTTCTGGTCATCATGTAGATGTTATGGTCCTCAGGTAGATGTTCCGGTCTTCAGGTAGATGTTCTGGTCTTCAGGTAGACGTTCTGGTCTTCAGGTAGATGTTCCGGTCCTCAAGTAGACGTTCTGGTCTTCAGGTAGATGTTCTGGTCTTCAGGTAGATGTTCCGGTCTTCAGGTAGATGTTCCGGTCTTCAGGTAGATGTTCCGGTCTTCAGGTAGATCCCAGTTCTGTCCAGGAGGTGATCCAGCCCAGGTTTCTGTTCTTTGATGTTTCAGGTCACGTCAGACTCTCAGAGCTTAAGGCCCCGCCCCTGCCTGTGAGGTCACTACCTTTACCTGATAGCATGAAGACTCAGCGCGAGGGCGGGGCTACTGAGGAGGAGGAGCAGGAGGAAGGGGTTCCGGCGGTCCGAAGGAGGAGCAGGAAGAGTCCCTCTGCAGTCAGCGGGGAAGCGAAGTTTCGGGGACGGCGCCAGAAGGACTTTGACCCGACTGCGATGGAAGAGGAGGAGGAGGCGGAGCTTCAGGGGAACCAGGAGAAGGTGAACACTGCGGTTTGGACTCAGAACCAACAGAAGCTGCTGGAACTGGCCCTGCAGCAGTTCCCCAGAGGAACCCCGGAGCGCTGGGACCGGATCGCCAAGGTGGTACCAGGAAAGACCAAGGTGAGCTGGACGGTTCTGCCCTGGCCTGACTGGGCTGTGGCTGGTTCTGACCCGTTCTGTGTGCTGGTTCTGACCCGTTCTGACTGCTGGTTCTGACCCGTTCTGACACCTGGTTCTGACCCGTTCTGACACCTGGTTCTGACCCGTTCTGAACCATTCTGTGTGGTGGTTCTGACCCGTTCTGACTGCTGGTTCTGACCCGTTCTGACCCGTTCTGTGTGCTGGTTCTGACCCGTTCTGACTCCTGGTTCTGACCCGTTCTGAACCATTCTGTGTGCTGGTTCTGGCCCGTTCTGACTGCTGGTTCTGACCCGTTCTGACTGCTGGTTCTGACCTGTTCTGACTGCTGGTTCTGACCCATTCTGTGTGGTGGTTCTGACCCGTTCTGACCCATTCTGTGCTGGTTCTGACCCGTTCTGTGTGCTGGTTCTGACCCGTTCTGACTGCTGGTTCTGACCCGTTCTGTGTGCTGGTTCTGACCCGTTCTGACTCCTGGTTCTGACCCGTTCTGAACCATTCTGTGTGGTGGTTCTGACCCGTTCTGACCCATTCTGTGCTGGTTCTGACCCGTTCTGTGTGCTGGTTCTGACCCGTTCTGACTGCTGGTTCTGACCCGTTCTGTGTGCTGGTTCTGACCCGTTCTGACTGCTGGTTCTGACCCGTTCTGTGTGCTGGTTCTGACCCGTTCTCACTGCTGGTTCTGACCCATTCTGTGCTGGTTCTGACCCGTTCTGTGCTGGTTCTGACCCGTTCTGTGCTGGTTCTGACCCATTCTGTGCTGGTTCTGACCCGTTCTGTGCTGGTTCTGACCTGTTCTGACTGGTCGTTCTGACCCGTTTTGATTGGTGGTTCTGACCCGTTTTGACTGCTGGTTCTGACCCGTTCTGTGTGCTGGTTCTGACCCGTTCTGTGTGCTGGTTCTGACCCGTTCTCACTGCTGGTTCTGACCCATTCTGTGCTGGTTCTGACCCATTCTGTGCTGGTTCTGACCCGTTCTGTGCTGGTTCTTACCTGTTCTGACTGGTCGTTCTGACCCGTTTTGATTGGTGGTTCTGACCCGTTTTGACTGCTGGTTCTGACCCGTTCTGAGCTGGTTCTGACCCGTTCTGACTGCTGGTTTTGACCCGTTCTTACTGCTGGTTCTGACCCGTTCTGTGTTGGTTCTGACCCGTTCTGACTGCTGGTTCTGACCCGTTCTGTGCTGGTTCTGACCCGTTCTGATTGCTGGTTCTGACCCATTCTGACTGCTGGTTCTGACCCGTTCTGACTGCTGGTTCTGACCCGTTTTGATTGTTGGTTCTGACCCGTTTTGACTGCTGGTTCTGACCCGTCCGGTGCTGGTTCTGACCCGTTTTGATTGTTGGTTCTGACCCGTTTTGACTGCTGGTTCTGACCCGTTCTGACTGGTAGTTCTAACCCGTTCTGACTGCTGGTTCTGACCCATTCTGACCCGTTCTGTGTTGGTTCTGACCCGTTCTGACTGCTGGTTCTGACCCGTTCTGACCCTTTCTGTGTTGGTTCTGACCCGTTCTGACTGCTGGTTCTGACCCATTCTGACCCGTTCTGTGTTGGTTCTGACCCGTTCTGACTGCTGGTTCTGACCCGTTCTGACTGTTGGTTCTGACCCGTTCTGTCTGCTGGTTCTGACCCGTTCTGACTGGTGGTTCTGACCCATTCTGTGCTGGTTCTGACCCGTTCTGACTGCTGGTTCTGACCCGTTCTGACTGCTGGTTCTGACCCATTCTGAGCTGGTTCTGACCCGTTCTGAGCTGGTTCTGACCCGTTCTGAGCTGGTTCTGACCCGTTCTGTGCTGGTTCTGACCCGTTCTGATTGCTGGTTCTGACCCGTTCTGATTGCTGGTTCTGACCCATTCTGACTGCTGGTTCTGACCCGTTCTGACTGGTGGTTCTGACCCATTCTGTGCTGGTTCTGACCCGTTTTGACTGGTGGTTCTGACCCGTTCTGAGCTGGTTCTGACCCGTTCTGAGCTGGTTCTGACCCGTTCTGACTGCTGGTTCTGACCCATTCTGACCGCTGGTTCTGACCCGTTCTGACTGCTGGTTCTGACCCGTTCTGACTGCTGGTTCTGACCCGTTCTGAGCTGGTTCTGACCCGTTCTGAGCTGGTTCTGACCCGTCCGGTGCTGGTTCTGACCCGTCTGGTGCTGGTTCTGACCCGTTCTGTGCTGGTTCTGACCCGTTCTGTGCTGGTTCTGACCCATTCTGTGCTGGTTCTGACCCGTTTTCTCTGTTCTGTTTCCAGGAGGACTGTATGAGCCGGTACAAGATGCTGGCAGAACTGGTGAAGAAGAGGAAGCAGGTGAAGAGCTGAGGGGCTCTGGCTCCGCCTCCTTCTGCCTCCTGCCAGATGATTGGCCTGAAGGTTCCTGCTCACCTGCTCAGGTGTGTCTGGACCTGCAGGTCAGCTGACCTCTGTGCCTTACCTGCCAATCACAGCTCAGTATTTATTGTTTCTAAACACACAAAGAAAAAAACTGTTTTTATTTGTTTTCAAATAAACATCTAAACCTCATCCAGGTGTTCTGTGTCTGTTCTGGACAGAAGGCAGGTTCTACCTGGCTCTGACCCCTCCCCCGCTCCTGGACCAGAACAGGTAGAGGAGGTGTGGTGATGAGGGACAGAAGGTCCTGCTGAGGAACGGAGCTCTCCCAGTGGACCCTGCTGCTAGAACCCGTCCATTTACTGGAAGGAACGTTCTCAGCTTCTGGTTCAGGAACGTTCTCAGCTTCTGGTTCAGGAACGTTCTCAGCTTCTGGTTCAGGAACGTTCTCAGCTTCTGGTTCAGGAACGTTCTCAGGTTCTGGCTCAGGGACGTTCTTATCTTCTGGTTCAGGAACGTTCTCAGGTTCTGGTTCAGGAACGTTCTCAGGTTCTGGCTCAGGGACGTTCTTATCTTCTGGTTCAGGAACGTTCTCAGGTTCTGGCTCAGGGACGTTCTTATCTTCTGGTTCAGGAACGTTCTCAGGTTCTGGCTCAGGGACGTTCTTATCTTCTGGTTCAGGAACGTTCTCAGGTTCTGGTTCGGGAACGTTTTCAGGTTCTGGCTCAGGGATGTTCTTATCTTCTGGTTCAGGAACATTCTCAGGTTCTGGTTCAGGAACGTTCTCAGCTTCTGGTTCAGGAACGTTTTCAGGTTCTGGCTCAGGGATGTTCTTATCTTCTGGTTCAGGAACGTTCTCAGGTTCTGGTTCGGGAACGTTCTCAGGTTCTGGTTCGGGAACGTTCTCAGCTTCTGGTTCAGGGACGTTCTCAGGTTCTGGCTCAGGGACGTTCTTATCTTCTGGTTCAGGAACGTTCTCAGGTTCTGGTTCGGGAACGTTCTCAGGTTCTGGTTCGGGAACGTTCTCAGCTTCTGGTTCAGGAACGTTCTTAGCTTCTGGTTCAGGAAAGTTTTCAGGTTCTGGTTCAGGAACGTTTTCAGGTTCTGGTTCAGGAACGTTTTCAGGTTCTGGTTCAGGAACGTTTTCAGGTTCTGGTTCAGGAACGTTCTCAGCTTCTGGTTCAGGAACGTTTTCAGGTTCTGGTTCAGGAACGTTCTCAGCTTCTGGTTCAGGAACGTTTTCAGCTTCTGGTTCAGGAACGTTCTCAGCTTCTGGTTCAGGAACGTTTTCAGGTTCTGGTTCAGGAACGTTTTCAGGTTCTGGTTCAGGAACGTTTTCAGGTTCTGGTTCAGGAACGTTCTCAGGTTCTGGTTCAGGAACGTTCTCAGGTTCTGGTTCAGGAACGTTCTCAGGTGCAGTTTCAGGAACGTTCTCAGCTTCTGGTTCAGGAACGTTCTCAGCTTCTGGTTCAGGAACGTTCTCAGCTTCTGGTTCAGGAACGTTCTCAGCTTCTGGTTCAGGAACGTTCTTAGCTTCTGGTTCAGGAACGTTCTCAGCTTCTGGTTCAGGAACGTTCTCAGCTTCTGGCTCGGGAACGTTCTCAGCTTCTGGTTCAGGAACGTTCTCAGCTTCTGGTTCAGGAACGTACTTAGCTTCTGGTTCAGGAACGTTCTCAGCTTCTGGTTCAGGAACGTTCTCAGCTTCTGGTTCAGGAACGTTCTCAGGTTCTGGCTCAGGGACGTTCTTATCTTCTGGTTCAGGAACGTTCTCAGGTTCTGGTTCAGGAACGTTCTCAGGTTCTGGCTCAGGGACGTTCTTATCTTCTGGTTCAGGAACGTTCTCAGGTTCTGGCTCAGGGACGTTCTTATCTTCTGGTTCAGGAACGTTCTCAGGTTCTGGCTCAGGGACGTTCTTATCTTCTGGTTCAGGAACGTTCTCAGGTTCTGGTTCGGGAACGTTTTCAGGTTCTGGCTCAGGGATGTTCTTATCTTCTGGTTCAGGAACATTCTCAGGTTCTGGTTCAGGAACGTTCTCAGGTTCTGGCTCAGGGACGTTCTTATCTTCTGGTTCAGGAACGTTCTCAGGTTCTGGTTCAGGAACGTTCTCAGGTTCTGGCTCAGGGACGTTCTTATCTTCTGGTTCAGGAACGTTCTCAGGTTCTGGCTCAGGGACGTTCTTATCTTCTGGTTCAGGAACGTTCTCAGGTTCTGGCTCAGGGACGTTCTTATCTTCTGGTTCAGGAACGTTCTCAGGTTCTGGTTCGGGAACGTTTTCAGGTTCTGGCTCAGGGATGTTCTTATCTTCTGGTTCAGGAACATTCTCAGGTTCTGGTTCAGGAACGTTCTCAGCTTCTGGTTCAGGAACGTTTTCAGGTTCTGGCTCAGGGATGTTCTTATCTTCTGGTTCAGGAACGTTCTCAGCTTCTGGTTCAGGAACGTTTTCAGGTTCTGGTTCAGGAATGTTTTCAGGTTCTGGTTCAGGAACGTTCTCAGGTTCTGGTTCAGGAACGTTCTCAGCTTCTGGTTCAGGAACGTTCTCAGGTTCTGGCTCAGGGACGTTCTTATCTTCTGGTTCAGGAACGTTCTCAGGTTCTGGTTCGGGAACGTTCTCAGGTTCTGGTTCGGGAACGTTCTCAGCTTCTGGTTCGGGAACGTTCTCAGGTTCTGGCTCAGGGACGTTCTTATCTTCTGGTTCAGGAACGTTCTCAGCTTCTGGTTCGGGAACGTTCTCAGCTTCTGGCTCGGGAACATTCTTAGCTTCTGGTTCGGGAATGTTCTCGGGTTCTGGTTCAGGAACGTTCTCAGCGTCTGGTTCAGGAACGTTCTCAGGTGCAGTTTCAGGAACGTTCTCAGGTTCTGGTTCAGGAACGTTCTCAGCTTCTGGTTCAGGAACGTTTTCAGGTTCTGGTTCAGGAACGTTCTCAGGTTCTGGTTCAGGAATGTTCTCAGGTGCAGTTTCAGGAACGTTCTCAGCTTCTGGTTCAGGAACGTTTTCAGGTTCTGGTTCAGGAACGTTCTCAGCTTCTGGTTCAGGAATGTTCTCAGGTTCTGGTTCAGGAACGTCTCAGCTTCTGGTTCAGGAACGTCTCAGGTTCTGGTTCAGGAACGTTTTCAGGTTCTGGTTCAGGAACGTTCTCCGGTTCTGGTTCAGGAACGTTTTCAGGTTCTGGTTCAGGAACGTTCTCCGGTTCTGGTTCAGGCACGTTTTCAGGTTCTTGTTCAGGAACGTTCTTAGCTTCTGGTTCAGGCACGTTTTCAGGTTCTTGTTCAGGAACGTTCTTAGCTTCTGGTTCAGGAACGTTTTCAGGTTCTTGTTCAGGAACGTTCTCCGGTTCTTAATAATATAATATATAAATTAATACCAGGATCTGTAGCATCTCCATATTTTTCATATCCATCTTTATCTGTAATCAGTTGTTCTCTTGTTTTTAAAGCGGTTCTGCCGTGTCGTTCTCCGCAGGCAAACAGGGGACCTTCCTCTGCATCACGGCGCTAAGGTCCCCATTTGGCTCCAACTCAGAATGCACCTTATATCAATCATCCATCCATCCATCCATTTTCTTTACACGCCTGTCCCAAGTGGGGTCGCGAGGCTTATATCAATCAGTCAACTTTTATTTTCTACAGCCCATTTCAGCAACAAAGCATTTCAAAGTGCTTTAGATAATAAAACATTACGATAATTTAAGTGCCATCTTTAAATTGTTCATTAATTACATTTGAAAAGCGACTGACGCTCAGCGATGGATGGTCAACGTCACGCTGGGCGATGGATGGTCAACGTCACGCTGGGCGATGGATGGTCAACGTGACGCTCGGCGATGGATGGTCAACGTCACGCTGGGCGATGGATGGTCAACGTCACGCTGGGCGATGGATGGTCAACGTCACGCTCGGCGATGGATGGTCAACGTCACGCTGGGCGATGGATGGTCAACGTCACGCTGGGCGATGGATGGTCAACGTCACGCTGGGCGATGGATGGTCAACGTCACGCTGGGCGATGGATGGTCAACGTCACGCTGGGCGATGGATGGTCAACGTCACGCTGGGCGATGGATGGTCAACGTCACGCTGGGCGATGGATGGTCAACGTCACGCTGAGCGATGGATGGTCAACGTCACGCTGGGCGATGGATGGTCAACGTCACGCTCGGCGATGGATGGTCAACGTCACGCTGGGCGATGGATGGTCAACGTCACGCTGGGCGATGGATGGTCAACATCACGCTGGGCGATGGATGGTCAACGTGACGCTCGGCGATGGATGGTCAACGTCACGCTGGGCGATGGATGGTCAACGTCACGCTCGGCGATGGATGGTCAACGTGACGCTCGGCGATGGATGGTCAACGTCACGCTGGGCGATGGATGGTCAACGTCACGCTCGGCGATGGATGGTCAACGTCACGCTGGGCGATGGATGGTCAACGTCACGCTGGGCGATGGATGGTCAACGTCACGCTCGGCGATGGATGGTCAACGTCACGCTGGGCGATGGATGGTCAACGTGACGCTGGGCGATGGATGGTCAACGTCACGCTGGGCGATGGATGGTCAACGTCACGCTGGGCGATGGATGGTCAACGTCACGCTGGGCGATGGATGGTCAACGTCACGCTCGGCGATGGATGGTCAACGTCACGCT